CTGCCTGCTGTCCCATGCTGAGGGATGGAAGGACAGGGGGATGCTCCCTGCCTGCTGTCCCACGCTGCGGCTGGAGAGGCTGAGGGATCACTGGAACTTTTCTGAGGACAGATGGAGGGAGAGAAGAGAAACACTAAAGCCTGACTCATGGGATCCGAGACTGACCAGAGCACTGCAGAATCCTTTGCTTCACATTTACACACGGACATCCCTCGCCCCAAAACCTAAAGAATTTAAGTTTTTTTTACGCTATCCGTTAATTTATTTTTTTTTCTCCTTGGAAAAAAAACCTCTAAAGACGTTTTCCACAATACCAAATGGTTTTAAAAGTTGTTTGCAATTTCTCTTCCTTGTTCTGCCCATCTACAGCCAACCCTGAAGAAATCAAGGGGAGTTAATGGATGTGGGAAGCTTGTAAGTTGTATATCTGGGTTTGTAGAGAATGGGCTGCAATTTGCCTACAGCAGAACAGTTTTTTATCCAGCAAAGACAAAAAAAAAAAAAAATCTCCCATCCTAATTGGAGGGTCTTTTCCAAATCAAAGACACTGGACCATCTCTGGGTCTCTTGATTGCTTTCCATGAAAAACGTGCCTGAATCCAAGAAACACAGGTTTCCTCCCTGTGTCTCCTTTTCCTCCACTGGAATTATATCAACTACATTTTTTCTGAGAGTGAACTTGTCTCAACAAAAGTCTGTTAAAGCATAGGTTCTCTTTTTTTTTTCTCTCCATATATTCAAATACAGAATAATAGTTTTAAACAACTCTTACCAGCACTGGGAAAAAAATCTATTCTACTTAAGGATTTGTTAAGTATGGTTTCCACATATCAGTCCTCAAACCTTATTGCTTCACAACTGCAATATCCCTTGAAAAAAAAAATATATTTAATGGTCTGTTAATTTGTCTCAAATGGCTTTCAGATTTGGTGGGGGAGGGAGAACGGAATGGCCAACAGAGAACATTGACTTCAAAATATTACTGTATAAGGGTTTCCTCTTATTAAAAAAGGATACACTGTATTAAACAGCTGAAAGTAAAGACAGCATTCAAAGCCCATGAGTCAAGCCACAGCCAAAACCGTGTTCTACCCCTAAGTATGTTTTTCTTTTCCTTTTTTCTTTTTTTTTTTCTCTTTTTTTTTTTAACCAAAGATTTCCTCAACTGCCATTTTTTAATCTTCACCAGAGGGTGCTTCGTCTTCAGATCCCTCATCCCCTGACTTCTCTGGTGGAGGGCTGGCTGATTTTTTCTTTTCTGGGGGGCTTTCAGGCTCTTCATCCTCTTCTTTGGGGGATGGGGTCTTTTCTTTCGTTGCCTTGGAGGCTGTGGGACGACCTCCCTTCCCTTTGCCTTTCACTGGACTGGGGGTCACTGAAACAAGAGAAAGCTTGTAAAACTTATCAGCAGCAAAGGCAAAAATACCCCAAAAAAGTCACATGATGTTACACAAACAGGATTTACAAGCCCCTTCAGCAGCAGCTTTCGTTTTGCTTTGACCCCACAGATTGTTTTTTTGCACCCCCTGTTAGCAAAGGTGAAGTGAAAATTAGCTAATGAGGTTTTAAAGTTATTTCCTTGCAAGTCCTGACTAATTACTGGACATCATGAATGAACACAGCTCTTGTCAAACCAGAACATACATCACTATTCAACTTCAAACTTCCTGTAGAAATGCAGCCATTTCTCCTTCGGTTCAGATTTCCCCACCTTCCTGCAGCCTGAAAACACCACAAAGTCCCAAACAAAGCCACAAATTGTATTATTTGGCTACGAGACAGAAAAAGTCAGAATGCAGCACCTCAACAGGGAAGGTTTTGAATTCTATGTAGTTTTTATCAACAAGATATAGATTAATTCAATCCCTAGAGTAAGAATTAAAGCCACCTTATTATTTCATGTTTAAATCATGGCATTTTAGCCCTTCAACATTTATGTGGATCTCTACTGACCCCAAGATTTCTACCAAGTCCTTTTAATAGCAGAAAAAGAAAACACCAAAGGCAAACTGAGCAGCTTTCTTTGCAGACTCACCTGTAGCCTTTAGCCTGGGCTTGGGCATTTTCTTTTCTTTCCTCTCTGGCTTAGATTTCTTGGAGACCTTCTTATTCTTCTTTTTTGAACTGCCATAATCACTGTCATCATCATCTTCCATGAGGAAGTCTTCATCACTTCCTGAATCTGCTGGAAGCATAAAGAAATTTAAGTTTTTTTGGGGCAAAGAGGAAAGGGAGCAGAAGATGAGAGATCTGCCAGTGAGACAGGACACAGACTGAGACCCTCTGAGCTTCCACTGTCTGCTGGGGGAAAACATTTGACTTGGTTTTTACGTCATCTGAGAGGAGCATCAACACCTTAAAACCAGAGGGACAGCAAGAAATAGTGAGAGCTTTACAATAACCCTTCAGGGCTGCTTACAAAAATGTACATCTGCAACCTTTGAGCATAAATTCTAGGTGTGAATTGTGTAAGCTTGGTCTGTTGGACAGTAAAAAGTAAATTACTAAGAAGGACAATTGATGCCTTCAGTGTCACAGTCAAAAAGCAAACTGTTCCTTTTGCTGCGTGGCCAGACCCATAAACTCACATCTGCTACTAAACCCAGTTCATCATTGATGTGAACTTTTTACAATCCCATTTACTCACTCTCCTGGAACTGGGCCTCATCATCCTCTTGCTCTTCCTCCTCACTCCCCACATCATCCATGAGCATCTCCCGCTGTTTCGAAGCTGCTTTGGACGCTGCCTGTCGCTGCTGACGGACATTTTTGTGATCCTCCTTCTCATCCTCGCTGTCCTCTGCAGCAAAAGTCACCAGGTTATGATGGAAACACAACACAGACCCCCTGTCTTGAGGCAGCAAGTCATTCACAAGAGAGTAAATCAAGATAACTGAGCCCTGAGGACAACACAGTCACATTCAACATAATAAACACCTTCCTGCGGTCACCCAACTACCAGTAACCTCTTTTTTTTTTTAATTTTTCTTTTTTTTTTACCTGCAGGCCTTTTCCTGGATTTGGAGGCTGCTCTCTTGTTCTTGTCTGGTTTAGCCTTTTTTCCTTTTTTGCTTTTTTGAGAGCTCTCATAGTCACTGTCAGCTTTGCCATCGTCTGCTCCTATATCATCATCTTCACTGCCAAAATCTTCATCTGCAAGGAAAAGGTACCAAGATGAAGTTTCTTGAATCATTCTGAGATATGGATGAAAACTACAGGGAAGAGATTAACAAGTCCATCCACCTGTGAAGACAAACTTTATAGTACCATCACATTACACCAAAAAAAACCCCCAACCACATTATCCCAAATCAGGGTGGGAAGTAAAAGCAGGAGAGGCAGAATCCAACTTAAGGGAAGTGGATTGGAGAAGTGCTGCTCTTCTAGTCAGAACTATGTCAAATCCTCCTCCTGCAACTCTCACAAACTGGTTTTGAAGAGACACTGCTTGTTCTGAAGATGTATCAGTACCATGTAGTTACCTGCTGAGTGTGAATCATCTTTCTTAGTCTTCACATCTTTGTCTTCTGAATCCTCACTGAAAACAAGAGAAAGATAAAGTTTGCCTGCTGTTCTAACTTTGGTTTCAGTCACTGTTGTGTGGAAAATAATGATTTTTGAAGAGCAAACTGATGTCTAGGCTGGGAACATGCACTTTTCCAGGATATTACCATGTTATACTTCAGGATTATTCTGGTGTATGTGCAGTTATCACAGTTAGAAAGGTAATGTTCAAACCCAATCACATAATAAACTTATATGGTGTCAAGTGAACCAACCAGGCAATAATCAGGGTGAGGTGAAAAAGCTTCACTCTGAAAGCTACCAAGATGGCTTCCATTTTATTTAGAATTTTGATGGTTTATATGCTGAGTCTATAAAGGGAATAAAGGTTGATTCTGAATAGATTTATAGTCATTGTTTAGATCCCACTCTATGCATGTTGCTGGACAGCTCTGAACTGGCACAAGTTTGGTCCAAATGATCTGATCTCTGATGGAGAATAAAAGACACTTTGGGGTTACAGGACAAGAAGCAGCTGGCAGAACCTCCACCCCTGAAGCTGATGTCTGCCATGAAAACAGAGAAATGATTTAACAGGTCTTATGGCAATTATTTGGGGGCCACAGTTGGTGTGAAGATACCCTGCTGAGGGGAAGTTTGCTGTAGAGTGAAGGTGTCTCTGAGCACTGAGTCCTTCCACACTGCTGGAGCAACTTGGTTATCAGGACAGGTTTATGAATTAAACAAAATGAGGAAAAAAAGAACCACAAAAACTAACAAATGGCCCCTGCACCATCCCACTTCACCTGTAAGGCCACTGCAAACGTGGAAAACGAACTGCACTTCCCCACCAACTCACCTGGAGCATCATCCCAAGCTGCCAACTTTTGTAACTCGGATCATATTCCTCCCCATTCCAACTGTCTGGCTCTGGAAAGCTATTTTAGTGATGGAGCACTAGTGACAAGTGCTTCACACATGATTTCTCTGTCTACTCAGATAAGGAAGAACCAGCTCACTGTCTAAGCTGGTTATGCAAGTTCTGAGCCCGAGAGCTCCCAATCTCACCCCGCAGACTCGAATTCCACCTACAATCACTCTCCTCTGGCAGGATCCCGCTCCCCACACGCAGGACAAGGTTTGGAGACACGTTCCCAAGAGATGAAGTGCTTCTTTTACCTGTCCTCCTGAGAATTCTTCCCAGATCGCCTCTTATTTTTGGCCTCTCGGGGAGACGAGCGGATTTTCTTGGATGGGGGACCTGAATCTCTTCCATAATCTTCATCTGGACGGGACAGTACAAAAGGGGTTTGAATCAAACTCCTACTTGCCAGCAAACTGCCTTCCTCAGCTCTAACTTAAACTGATCATTTCATGCACAACAAAAAGAAGGCCCTTCGGAAAAAAAAATACAAAAAAAATAAAAACAAAACCAAACAAACAAGATCACAAAGCTTCAAACGAGGTTTTATAGAAGCAAAGTCCCGTCTTAAACTCGTGATTTACCTTTTTCTGGTGCCAACAAGCACAATAAAAATGCTGTGTACAGTCAGGTCTGACACAGGGGTGTTAAGAAACATAAAAACCTCACAAGAGAACACAGGATCTCATTTTACATCTAGTCAGTTATTATGTAAACTTATTAAAAATTAACTTCCATACATATTTCACCCTGCTTTTAACAGCAAACACTATTTACTGTCCTATGATGGGGGAAAGTATGGCATTATATAGGAGTTTACAGCACAACTTATTACAACTCTTAGACAATACCTTATTAACAGAGCTGCAATTAAGAACTAAGCATATTTGTTTCATATTAATTATCAGTGTAACCTAATAAACAAACAGCAGTACTGTGCCTGTCTTCTAAGAACTCAAAACATATTCCATATGGCTCCCAGAAAATTTTCTTCAATTCACACAGAACATAAAGATTGTATTTTTTAGATGCTATTCCTCAAAATGCCTGATATTATGGGCTCAACCAGAGTCCACTAAAATAAATGGAAAACATATTTTCCTGCAGAAAAAAAGTGGCATTAGGGAGATTCAGGACATAACATAGACCAAGGAAGGAAGTTGCTGCCAAGAGCCTCAAGGCACTACAACAATACAAGCATTAAATAATAAGATTTCTATCACCATTGTTTGTTTAATACAAAACATATGAAAATCATTACATTTTCAAATACTTATTAACAGTTTGGGCTGTGAAGAGCAGGAACTCCTCAGAATTGGAGTTAAAGACAAACAATTAATACACAAGGCAATAATGAACTGCTCTACCCCAGAATATGATACTGTTAAGGAAAAAAAGTCATTTACCAGCATCATCTGATTCCTGAAACTGGGAGTAATCGACCACCTTCCTGTTCCTGGTAAAAAGCAGGGGGAAAAAATCAATTAGGAATTCATAATTACAGAGATACAAAAGTTTTCTTTAAGAAACAAGGAAGTGCCACATCCTTGCTTCCAGTGCTGGATTTGTAGCCCAAAAATATCCCCAGGAAACTCTCATAATCAGCCACCTACACCTCTGAAGTCAGAAGTGAACACACAGTATATTCCAGCATTTTCCTAAAGAGGTATTATAATAGTCTAGATTATAATCTCAGAGTCTGAAAAAGCTTTTTTGGTAAGTACACAAATATTACCATTAATAAACATTTCTCAACTGCTCTGTTTTGTACTTCTGCTTCTCACAGCTCGATACACCCCACAGAAATTCTCCTGGAATGTTTCTTTTCCCATATGATCCCCGTTTCTAAAGCATTTTTGAAGGTTTCACTGGGGCTTCTGGGAGTTTTCTCCATGAGTTCCACGAGGAAGATGCCAGAGCTGTGACACTGCTCAGCTCTATCACTGGGCACAACAAGGAACCCAGACACACATTTCACCAAATTGTGTTTTTTTAGTGAATCAACCTGTATTTCTTTACTTCATCACCACCTCCTCTGCTCTTTAGCCAAAGTGAGAGAGGCACTGAGGGATCATGAACAGAGCAAATGCAACGGCCAGTTCTACACAAAATTAGTTACCTACACATGCAGTTATTACTGACACTGAAGTCTCACTGGTAAAGGAAATTAGATCTGCTTCTCTAACTTACTGAAAGCTCAAAAATTAAATGAAGTGTAAGGAATTGGTGGCTATTTTATCAGCACCTTGTCAATTGAGGTCCAACTGCTTTATTGACAAGACATAACTGCCCTGTAATGCAGCTACCAGAGGGAACCAAGACAGACAGATAAATTAATTATATTTGAGATAACTGATAATGTCTCAGCCAAACTCAGACTCCAAACCCTTCCTGTAACCACTCACATGGAATGGGAGGAGGAGGCACAGCTGGAAAAGGCCCCAGAGGTTTAAAAACCCCTCCCTCCACAGTCACTTTTTACAATCCTTTTGGCCCGAAGCCAACGAGAAATTTGATTTTCCAGGAATCTTCACTGAGCTCACTTGTACAGCTCGAAAAGCCAGGAAAACACTGATGAAGTGCCCTACCCAGCACCTCAGGCCTGAGGAGCACTGCAAGGGAAGGTAAGACCAGTTCCATCCACACATGGATCCACCCTTCCTCTCTCCTGCTCTGCAGGGCACAACTGGACAACTTCCCAACCAGCTCCCACACCTTGGCATTAACATCAGGCACTGCTGATAAAACTGTTTAGCTGAAAGACACCCAAAATCATCACTGTTCTGGCTGCTGATCCCTTCCCAATCAATCTGAAGTTGCCCTCCTGTACAGGTACCTCTAACTCATGGCTTACAGCACCAGCCTTCCAAAGGGGAAAGAGCAAAATTCCATTTCAAGCCCACACCGAGACTCTTAAAACAATTATAGAGCAAAAAACAAAACCAATCCCTTAAAAAACAAAACAAAACAAACCCAAACCAAAAAAAAAAATCAAATAGGCAAATAAAAGGAAGGCAGGAGCAGTGGTTGGGATTTCTCCAGGCTGAATCCCATCCAAGCCTCAGAGCACGTGTGAGTGGAACAAAGTACAAGAGCACCGTGGTGCAGAGCACTGCTCACTCACTCCCAGCCTGAGCACGGGAAAATACCAATTTAGGAACACAATGATTGGCAAGGCTTGTTATGGCTCATCATCCAGGGATTTACATTCCTATTCCAACAGGTATATTGCTTCCTGACCCACCTCACGTGGGAAAACACTGATTTTTATCCTGGAGAGCAGTTACACCAAACCAAACGTCTTATTTAGTAAGTACCAAATATCACAGGGGTTTTTTTTCCCCTCCAAAAGCATAAATGGAAAAAAAAAAGGCAAAATTTCCACATGTTCTGTTCCAGCAGCTTTGTAAAACAACAGTTTTGGACACCTCTAATCTAACAAACAAGATGGAAATTGTAATACTGCCACCTTGGAAGTTGGTCATGCACATTTCCATCTTGGTTCCTTCAGTCAGACACACATTAAATCAGGTACTGAAAATGCACCAGTGCCAGCTAAAACATTAACAAAAACATTGTCCCCATGGAAAACATCCTTTCTCCAAGCACTGCCCCTTGTGTGAAGTAAATCCTGCTCAGCTTTCCCTACCTGGTGAACAGCTGTGGTATTTGTATTAAAAAACCATAAATCACTATTTCAGAAGCAAACAGAAGAAAAGGCTGTTTCCTTGTGCCATCTCATTTTGCAGGGCAAGGAGAGGGTGGAGTAAAGAAGGAATATCTGCACTGATAAAAATCTGCTGGTTCCCAACAGAACAGGAGAAGCTCAGAGACACCAACCAACCTGCTCCTGTCCCTGCCCTTCTCCTCCCTTTATCCTCCATCATTCAGCTCATTTGGATCAACTGATGGTTTTATTTAGAACTGTCAACAGCACTGATAATTAATTATGAGTTTGCAACGTTTCTTACACCGAGGAGATAAAAACACACTGTGTAAGTTCACTGCAAGAGCCAGAAAAAGAGATTGCTGGTGCTGTCAATGAAGAGGCTCTTTGCCACGAGCAAAATCTGGAAGATGTGAAGGCAAGCAACCAGACATAAAAATAAACTCTTTGTTAAATCCAGTTAGACTGAGCATAAAAAGACAGGCTAGTGGACAGCTGCGATGGGTATTGTTCAATCTGGCCTAAAATATGCACTGAAATTTAAAGATAACTTCCCTGCTAATTCAGCTTAACATTTAAAGTGTGTGTGTGTGTAGGAACTGGGGGACAAAAGGTACAGAAAGAGGTCTAATAGCATAAGTTTTAATAACACTCAGTCCAGTATTTTTGGAATAAACAGCAACTCATCTAGCAAGTCATCAACACGTTGGGATGGAAGCACTTAGCAAAGTAATAAGTAATTTAAATACAACTCAGAAGTGCACAGTAATTCTCGCAACCTCTACTTGATGGTGACCAAACAGCTCTTCTGAAATTATGAAAAGTAATGTCAACGTGTAAAAGGATCACTAAATGCCTCTAAAACTGAGCAGGGATTGTATAGGAGTATTTTATTTTCAGCTAGTGAGGTCCCTAAAGCCTCAGTCTTTGTAAGCCAACACATCAGAACAGACACTACAATCAGGCAGAAATATTCTGGGTTTTTTTAAAGGGAATGCTTAGATCCCCAGGTATTTCTGCAGGCATTAAAATCCACAGATAAAGTCCAAGTTTAAAAAAAAAACAAACACAACACATACTCCTGAAAAGCAGTGCTAAAAGGAGCCTTCAAAAATCCAGTCACTGCTTTGAGTCTCGTCCTGCACTGAAGAGGAACATTCAGGTCAAATGACAACCAGCAGAAGCAACAACCTACCCTCTAATGCAACACAGCAAGGGAAGGGAATGAGATTAAATGGTTACTGAGATTCTGTACATCATTTATCCACAGCATTTAACCAACATAACCATCAAACCAAGCATTTGTGGACAAAGCTACAGCCCCTCCCTCACCCTCAGGGCTCAGTGGGGCTTCACCTTCTGGTTCTCATTCTCAAAGGTGTCTGTCCCCTTTGAGGCCAACATTGTCAATAAATATTGCCATGAAAAGCACCTTTTGGTGCCTTTTTTTATACACAGAAAATGAAAATACCTGCGAGAAACACTTCTGGCTGTCATTTTTAAAGCTGCACAAAGCAGGATTTGGGCCTTTCATGACCATGGACTTCCAATCCCCAACAGAAGCTGGCACGTGGTGCCAGTTATGGATCCAAAACATGGCACTGTGGGGTTAGTCTGTGTAAAAATGGGCACAGCCATGCCCAGACAGGACTCACCCATGAGAGAGATGCCCAGTTACAGAGGGCAGTGTTTGGGGCTGGGCCTGGTGTAAGTTCCCATGTCTGTAAGACCAGGCACTGCTCATGGTATCCACAGAATTTTTAGGGATGCACACGACTTGAAACTCCATCAAATAGTTAAATTATTTATGCAATAACAGTTCAAGCAGCCTTGTGCCTGTTCTCTAGTGGAATCTAACCATAACTGAGAAACTTTTAACACAGAAGTGTTTTGGTGCAGAGCAGGGGAGGGAGAACCAAATCTTAACCCCCACCCCACACCCCCCACCCAAATCACTTCTGCAGCCTGTGCTGTTCCCTGGATTTTGATCTTTTTTGTACCTCTACCTTCCCTCTGTTTCTCTTTAGACTGAGAGAGAGCAAGGGTCAGCTTTTCATTCATTTGCCAAGTGCCCACACCTATCTCTGGAGCACCACACAGCATCACTCAGGTTTTATGAACTGCCAATCCCCAAGGAACTGTTGCTTTCCTGCTTCCTGTGGAAGTTTGTCCAGAATCAAAACATTTATGCTTTAAATTGCCCCAAGTACGACACTGGCAACAAGTTATATTTAATAGATAACTATATTTCTTCCTGCTGGTAAAATTTTACCCTTCTACTGCAGCGCCAACAGGAGACTGGGATTCAAATACAGGAAAATTAAAGGATGTAAAGCCTTGAAACACTGAGATCAATTCATAACTGGCTTTAATCTTAAAATGAAGCACCAAAAAACCCCTGGGATTTCCATTCCTGCCCACAGCATCTCAGTTTGCAATGACTCCAGGAAAGGACCAGCAAGTGGAAGTGACCAGTGAGGAAAAGCAGAAGCAAACTCCATTAAAAGTCAAAATTCTGACTTAAAACACATTCATTGATTGGTGACGTATATAAAAAAAGTGGTTCAAAGTATTTAATTTATTATATCCCTATAATATTTTATATTATGGGATATAATGTCACCACCAGCCCCAGCTGCTCTTTGCAGTTCTCAGGTGAGGGACCCACAAGATGCAGAGGTTCAGTAATTTCATGTTCCTTTACTTTTTACTTCTTGTCTTTTTATAACAATAGTGCAAATACCATCATTATCCATCCAGGTGAAATTTAATTGTGTAGAAAGTGCTTGGCACAGGAAGCCTGTAAATACCAGCACTTTATTACTACTCCTTAACAATATTAAGGAACTGACTTCAACAACCAGACTCAGTTTTAAGGCAGCATTCCATGACAAGTGCAGTAAAAACTGGGGATATATGGTGGATTTTATTAACTTCACTGTTTTAGGTGCATATATTCACTAGAAACCAGCAGACATCATAAATTAGTTCAAAGAACACTGATCAGAGGAAAACTTTTCCAACACTAAATCTTACTCTGGTGAAGAGCCTTTCACCAGGCTGCCATATCACCAACCACAAGCTGAGATAGCCAGAAAAAAACCCATTTCAGAATTAATTTATTAATGGATTTATATCTATTAGCAGAGTTCTCTAGTTAATATTTAGTAGAGCAATAAATATAATGTAGCAGCCCCTGAGTATTTACCTTTTTCCCCCTGGAAGGGTTGTTAAGTACAGGTAGACAGAGGACTGTTACATCCCTCCTGACACGTGCCAACAGGTTTTGTGCTCCCAACAACCTGCTGGACTTTGGTGCTTTATTTCCCTGTAGACCTGGGCCTGTCAGCTGAGGGTGAGACAAGTCAAACCTTTCACAACACTGCAGGACTGGACAGGGGAGGTTTATTTTATAGGAATTTTTTATTATTTTTTAGGAATTTTTGCAAAGTTATTTTTACACCAGCAAGCTCAGAAGCTCTGCTTTTAGAGACACAGACCTGTTAGCAAGACTCCAGTGCTGGCAAGAAAACCACCAGCATTTGAAGTGTTCCCCCAAGCAGCAGAGTCACAAAACCACTGATTTGGGCACACGGGCACTGCCACTCAGGGTCAGACCACTGGTCCCATCCAGCACAACATCCTGCCCTGCAAAAGGCCAAAACCTGATGTTTCAGAGCAGGGTACACACAGTGCCATTAATGCACCTTTTGGATCCCAGACAACTCCCCAAGGGAGCTTTATTTGCCCTTCCCTCTCCATGCAGGAAGACACTGTTGGTCAAAAAAATGAGCTATGAAATAATTGTACCACCAATCACTTCCCTACTTAGCAAAGTACCACTGGTTTCCATCTATTTTTAAAATTCTCACGTGTTAGAGATGTCACTTAAACATCAAGTATATAGTCTATAAATGTATATACATATCATAGCCACAATTAATTATTATTTAGAATATCCAAAATATCCACACATCCCAGACCAGGCTTACTGGGAATGAAAACACAACCAGTTACCAAAGTACCCTGAGAACAAAAAAATTTCAGAGCATCAGGAGAGCACCTCGAGAAACCTCTTTCCTTTTCTATAAAAACAACTTAAATCGCAAATTCACTCTCTAAAATCACAAGTTCATTCTCTTTGCAGAGAAGAGTAAAAAGGAAGACACTCCTCCCCTCTGGTAAACTTTCAGCGACAAGGCAAGTTCACAGAATCACAGAATTTATACAGAATGTCCCAAGCTGAAAGGGACCCACAAGGATCATCCAGTCCAACCCCTGACCCTGCAGAGACACCCCAAAATCCCCCCCTGTCCCTGAGAGCGTTGTCCAAACCCTCCTGGAGCTCTGGCAGCCTTGGGACCGTGCCCACTGCCCTGGGGAGCCTGGTCAGCGCCCGACCACCCTCGGGGGGAAGAACCTTTTCCTGAGATCCACTTAAACCCTCCTGGACGCAGCTCCAGCCGCTCCACGGGCACCAATCCCCCCGTGCTGCAGATCCTCAAACCCACCATCAGCTCAGCCCACCCCCAGCAGCTCCTCCAGGCCCAGCACCGCTCAACCACAGACACAACCACCACACCTACCTCTGCGAACACACAGCTCGCAAACAGCACCGCTAAAAAAGCTTTTCTCTCCTCCCTTCTCTGGGATAGGTGCTGGGGGGGGACACACCAGCAGGAAAACGACCCCGGAGCGCTGCTGGCGGGCGGGCGGGAGGAGCAGGGCGTGTGTCCTCCTCCTCCTCCTCCTCCTGCCGGCGGCTCCTCCCCTCAGCGTGGTTCCCCAGCACAGCCCCCGTGGCCCGGACCCCCCTCGGGGTGGCCCCGCGCCCCCTCCCCGGGCGGCGGGGCAGGGGCAGCGGCCGCGGATGGCGGGCGAGCGCCGCCCGCCCCGCGCCAAGTGGGTCACGGCGACAATTCCCTCCTTCCTCCCCCCCGTTACAAAATGTGGGACAAGCGCACGCAGGGCCCGAACACCCCCCACACACACACACACACCCACCCGCCCCCAGCCCCGCATGAGGCGCACGGTGCGGAACGTCGTGTTTATTGCGGTAAATACGCGCGGTTACCGGGGGGGAAACAAGGGGAAATAGAGGAGAAAATGGGCACGGCCCTCCCTGAAGCGCGGCCTGCGCGGGGCCGCGGCCGGGGCGAGCGGCGCGGGAGCGGCGGCTCCGCGACTCACCTGACGGGCCGGGACATCTTCCCGGCGGGTTCGTGCCGCCCCCGGGGGTGGGCGCGGAGGGAACGGGGGACGCTGAGGCCGCCGAGGCCGCCGGGGCCGCCCGGAGCGAGCGGGAGCGCTGGGCCCAGCGCCTCAGGCCGCGCTGCCGGAGCCGCCGCTGCCGCCGCTGCTGCTCCCCCCTCTAGGCGCCGCCGCCGCCCCCGCTGCCGCTTCCCGCTGCCGCTCCCTGCCGGCGCTCCCGGCTGCCGGTGTCGCTGCCCCGCTCCCGGCCCGCGGTCCCGGTGTCCGCCCCGGTCCCGCTCCCGCCGCTCCCCCCCGCAAAATGGTCGCGCTCGCCCCGCCGAGAGGATGCGAGCGAGGGGAGGGCGGCCCCGCCCCCCGCGCCGGGCCCCGCCCCCGCCGCACGCCGATTGGCCGCGCCGGCCGCCGGCCCTGCCGCCATTGGCCCGTTCGAACCATCACGGCCGCGCAGGGCCCCGCCCACTGCCCCCGCGGGGAGGGCGGCGCGCGCGGCCCCGCACGCGGCGGAGCCGCGGCGGCAGATTCGCCACGGGGCCCCCGCGGCCCCGTCCCGCGCACCCCGCACATCCCGCACGTCCCGCACCGCCCCGCGGGTCCCGACACCGCCCGGGCACCGCCGGCTTTTTTTTCCTTTTTCTCCGTCGATTTTTTCGGGGCGCGGCGGGGGCCTCGGGGCCCGTCCCGCAGATTCGCCGCGCGGGCCCGGCGCGGTTTTGGAGGGAAAAACGCGGCCCCGGGAGCGGGTTCAGCGCCGTTAATTTTTATTAGGAAAAAACGCAGGAAATCACTCTCAGCCGTCGATTTTGTCGTCGGCACTGATGTCACCACCACCACTTTCCCTGTGCTAGTCAGCAGTTAAGGACATGCACAATTTATGCAAAGTCCACTGAAGATATCTGGGTTTTTTTACGCTTCGAATTCCCTAGAAACGCCAAAATTACTCATTTTGTTTAGGAAAGGAGCTGCTTTAACCATGGAAAAATTAAATGTATTCCACAGTCATTAAAATGGCAGCTTCTACAATAACAACTCACTTTTGCTTTGCACTTGGATCTTTAGAGACTCATCCTTCCATTTTATTTAAAAAAACACTTAAAAACGTATTTTAATATGTTGGGTTCCCTGAAAATACTGGTTTGACAATACAAATATGCTTTACAGCAGTAATTAGAATGAAAGGATAATTTGAGTTCATTTAATGCCCTGCTTGAGCTTCATTTGTCTCCTTTGGAATTATTGCCATTTTTCTGCCCAATCCAGCTGTGCCCTGTCCTTTGTGCCACTCAATACTCATGAAAATCGAGCTGATCAGGGGAAAAAAGAGGTACTTGGAGCAACTGCCTGCACATCCAGCCCCAAAATACACTGAATTAACAAGCCCTGAGGGGGAAGGTGCAGTAACCACATCAAGGAATTCTTCGCTCCCTGCTCCGAGCTGGATACGTTGGATTAAAAGCCACTCTGGCTGACTCACAGATGCACAAGTTTTGCATGTTTATAGCTCAATAAAACTCCGGTAATTGGGGGTGTTTGGGTGGAAAGGCTCGGGTTTGTTTGGCTGTGTTGTGTCCATCCCTTTGTCGTGCCTATCGCGACTTAGGCAGCCAGGTTAGGGCAGGCTGATCCCACTGATCCCAGCCCCGGGCGATTCCAGCCCCGCAGCCCCTTTTGTCATGGAATTCTTCCCAGACTTCAGAGGATCCACCCTGGGAATACACAGCAGGCGTCATCCCCGTGAGAGCCCTGCCAGGAACAAACACCCCCCGAGGGGGGGACAGTGACAGCCAGCCCTGGCACCAGGGAATTCCACTGGAATTCCCTTGGATTTACCGCATTATTCCCTCCTGCTCCTTCACCTGGGGTCAAACAGCACCTCCTGTGCTCCGGGGTGACCCCCAAACCGGGGTAGATCACGTCACTGGATTAAATTTGTAATAATCTACACACTTTTACCACACTTGGGTTCAGCCCTGGGTTCAGGGGGATTCAATTTTACTACGAGAAAACACAGAAAATGAATTTCAGCAGTAGATTTTTATCATCAGCCCCTTGATTTCATCCCCACACTCCTCAGCACACGGCCACGCCAAATTCATGCAAAGCCCACTGAAGATATTTGATTTTTAGACCATAAATTCCCTAGAACCCCCCAAAATTACTCATTTTGTTTAGAAAAGGAGCTGCTTTAACCATGGAAAAATTAAATGTCATTAAAATGGCAGCTTCTACAATAACAACTCACTTTTGCTTTGCATTTGGATCTTTAAAGAGGCTCATCCTTCCCTTTTATTAAAAAGAGCACTTAAAAAGATATTTTTATATGTTGGGTTCTCTGAAAACACTGGTTTGACAATACAAACATGGTCAGCTTTAAAGCAGTAATTAGAATGAAAGGATAATTTGAGTTCATTTAATGCCCTGCTTGAGCTTCATTTGTCTCCTTTGGAATTATTGCCATTTTTCTGCCCAATCCAGCCGTGCCCTGTCCTTTGTGCCAGTCAATACCCACGAAAATCGAGCTGATCAGGGAAAAAAAAGAGGCACTTGGAGCAACTGCCTGCACATCCAGCCCCAAAATACACTGAATTAACAAGCCCTGAGGGGGAAGGTGCAGTAACCACATCAAGGAATTCTTTGCTCTCTGCTCTGAGCTGGATATATTGGATTAAAAGCCACTCTGGCTGACTCACAGATGCACAAGTTTTGCATGTTTATGTCCTGCCTGTAGCTCAATAAAACTCCAATAATTGAGGGTGTTTCAGTGGAAAGGATCCCATTTGTTTTGCTGCAGTTCACAGTGTGTGTTTTATACATTCCTGTTATTGTTATTTTTAGTTTCAACTTGTGAACCCGTTTCTTAGGACTGTTGAGACAGGAAAACAACCACCACTAACCAAGTCACGTCGATTTTTTTATTTCAAACTGTTGCAATACTGCATTAGTCACTGATTGATGTGGATTAAACCTCCCAGCAGTTTTTCCTCTTTACATAAACACGATAATACTGAAGTTTTACAGTAATCAGAACCCTGTCTCTAAAATATTTCTGTGTAACAGCAAGCAATTATTAAAAAAAAAGCTAAGTTTTGAGATTGTTGACTTATTTTACGGCCTATAATCTGCTTTCAAATCCTATTGTGTGGACCCACAGAGTGCAGCCATCAGTACAGAAAATACACGTGGTTTTTGAGTCCCAGGACCACAAATTAAAGTCACAGGGAGGAGAAACAACATGTGGATGAGAGGGGAAATAGGCACAGTTGGCCCCGAGTCACACAGAGGGTACAAAGTCAAAGCAGGGAGAACAAAACACCTTCATTTCCCAACCTGAGGGAAGGCACGAGTGAAGCAGAACAAAGAACAAGACTTTTCTGATTCATACCTGAAAGATTCAGGCTTTTTAACCACCTGCATGAACAAGACTTGACTTCGTTTAAAACGTTTTCTTGGGTTTTGTTTTTTTTTTTTCCCTTTCGGTTGTTTTAAAAACAGGAATTAATTCCAGCTGGCACAGCCCCTGCCCACGTCCCTTCCACGCTGCCCAGCCCAGAAAGAGCATCTTCCACGGGGCTTTTTCAACCTGTTTTTTTACAAAACTAAAGCAAGGGGGTTGCTGGGTTTGTTTTGCCTGTTTTTTTTAAGCCCCCTGTGCCCCAGAGAGATCTCTGAAAACACACACATCTGCACAGGGAAATCGTTTTCCTGTCTGGTTGGGGTTTCACATGAGCAACGGCTGTTTCTGGTGTGCAGCTTGGGTTTTTTTTTTTTTTAAACATTTGTCTCCCGTGTCAGATGTTAACCAACAGCAAGTGTGCAAAATAAACACCCCCCCAAAGGCTCACACCGGGACTGGAAACCACGGGGCAGAACAGAAATGATGTAGAAGAGAAAAAAAAACCAAACAAACCCCCTTCCTTTGGCTTTTTGCTCGATTCTTAAAGGGCACTTGTGAAAGAAAAGGTGCAGGTTTGAGAGGTGCAGGCACCAAAGAGGCACTGGTAGGTATTAAAGTGACATGTTAAAAGGTGTAAAGAGGTTTTTCTGGCCAGGAATTCCCTGTGAGGGTGGCACAGGTTGCCCAGAGAAGCTGTGGCTGCCTCATCCCTGGAAGTGTCCAAGGATAAACTTGGAGCAACCCGGGCTAGTGGAAGGTGTCCCTGCCCATGGGATGAGATGAGCTTTAAGGTCCCTTCCAACCCAAACCATTCTGGGATTCCATAACTGGACGGAACAGGAACTGGGAATTTCCAGTCCCAAGCTGGACTGAGCAGTGGGTGGGTCCTGGGCAGGGGTTTCTCCCCCTTTCAGGCTCTAAGACTTGGTCTCTTTGCCAAAACACTTTAAGGTGCACATACAAAAAAAATCAATAAATAACACCTGAATCTTAAAAGTTTAGTGACAGATCCTTTAAAAACTCAGGCACGTCTCCTCATGTTCCACAAAGAACTAGAAATATTTATGGGATTAAAACCCATTTTCTTTCCTATTTCTTTTTTTTTTTTAACACAGCGAAGTAAAATTCAGCAAGGCACTTCAATTTTGTTGCTAACCAGTTCTCCATGTTTCCACAGTGAAAACAGCAGCACAGAAAAGGGGGTATTTAAGCACCCCTAGCCCTGAATTTAGCAATATTTGCATGACACAATCCTAGCCCAGGTATTTCAGCTTTTAATTAAAACAGTGGAGCACTGGTTTTAAATTTCTTAACCCTTACTGTTCACTCATCAATTATTTTCAGCTTCAGAGAAGGAAAACTCAGATTTTTTTTATGCTCAGTGAAGGCAATTGGTTCCTGTTCTACCACCTTCTCCCTCCATAGATTACACAGAGTAAGAAAAGACAGGCAGGAGGAATAATTTGCCAAAGAAAACCAGTCCTAATTCACCAGGAATCAGGACAGAGCAATTTATAGCCCTGTTTTCAAGGGAAAAACGTCACTGAAGGCCATTTGCTGAAATCCAAACCTAAACCATGGGCAGGACAGTTCTGTAGCATCACAGGGTCATGGAATATCAAAACCATCTCAAACCCACGCAGCATTTTAACTCCAGCCCTGCAGTCTGAGTTTCCTCCTCGCTCTCCTGAGACCTCTGCTGTGCTTGTACCAATTTTTGGGCACCAGTTTTTTCCCCTACTGGTAGGTGGGGGGGAAGGAGGCACCAAAAAGAAGTAGGGGAGTGGTTTCTTCATTTCCTTTTTGTCCCACAAAGTCTTCTCCTCCTCTAAAAGCAGTGTGGGGGGGATGTTTCCTACACCAGCCCTGCCACCAAATCCCCTCCTGGCTGCAGGATAATAATGGTGGGAAGGCAATTCATCAGCAGTTGCAAGGCTGTTTGGGGTGGTTTGGGGATCCAGGGAGTGCTAAAAAGTGCAAAAGGACTCTTGTTCTGGCACACAAAGGGGTTTACAGCCCATCCCTCCTCCAGCTCCCCCTGCCCCAATAAAGGGGCAGCACAGCAGGAGGATGGGATTGTGCCAGAGGGGGAGAGAGGAGGGAGGACAGGAGGCAGCTGGGCTGTTCCTGACTGGAATTTGGGGTCTCTGCTGTTGAACAGCACAGTCAGAACTGCAGGACAGGGAGGGGCTGTGCTGCACCACCTCCCAAATTCCCCCTGGTACCTTCAGAGCTCCACGGGCACCACGTTGATCCACATCCCCCTTCACACCTTCGGGACGACGATGGGATGTGTTGGGTCTCTCCAGGGCAGGGAGGAAGGAGCTGTAATCCCACGCTGGGAATCCACAGGGAAGACCTCCCGGACTCTGTGTGTGGGCCAAGGTCACTGCAAGGCCTTGGGCTGGTGCCTCTGGGGGTGGGGGGTGCAGGTGGTGGGGGATAAAGGTGCAACAGTATTAAAAACACACCTTCAGCAGCCCAGGGACGGGCCAGGACGTGGCAGAAGGTGAAGTGCTTGAAAATTTAAAAAAACAAATGTAATCCAAGCCCTGAGCTTGGACATGGGCAGTGCTACATCAGAGCAGCAGAGCTGCAGCTACACTGGGAAAAAAGAGGGATCTTCCCACTCCTCTCCTTTCCACTCCTCACTCGAGTCACTGCACCAATGCTCTGCTGAGACAGAATATTCACTATACAGAAACAGCCCATGAGCTTGTAAAAAAAACACCCTAAAACCAGCAAGAGCCAGTTCAGGGAGAAATGATGATGATAATAGAAGGCCCATCACTGCTAGACCCGAGGGGATGGGGTGTCAGGGGCTCTAACAGCAGGCCCAGCCTGGTGGGGAGGTCTCTTTTAAGTTAATATAATCCCCAGTCCCAGCAGTGGAGGAACTTCCATCACCCGTGGATGAGGACATCATCTTTTCAATCAGCACTCTGCAAGAGAAACATTCTTGTTGAGGAAAAAGAGAAATTTAATCTAATGTAGATATAATCTAATGTAAATTAATCTAATGTAAATATATTATTTCATCTTAAAGACATAGTTAAGTTGTTACCTATATATTTATATATATATATGTTACCTTCATATATGTATATAAATAAACCTTGTAAGTATTTTCCCCTTCCCCCAATGCTGAGTAACTGTGTTTTGTCTGAAAACCCTCTCACACTAAAGCAAATTGTGGGAGGGGGGCTTGAACTTGGGAATTGGATTTTTGAGGGGTCTCAAACCACCACAGGGAGTTTGGTTTGTGGGTTTGTTTGGTTTTTTTAACCAGCAGCACTGGGGGGCACAAAGCTTTTCAGCAGCGCAGAAAAGGAGCAGCAATTCAGCCCAGAAGGACACAAAATTCCAGCAAAATGATTAAAAAATCTGGTTAAGGGACTTCATAGCACTGAGAAGAGGATTCCTAAGATTACCTGGCAGCATCAGGAGACTCTGCAGTGACTGGATAACTCACAACATCTACTGCAACCACCTCACCTCGGGTCCAGTTAAGGACTGGGACACATCAACAGACCCCCTGGGTACCACCTGCCCAAGCTCAACATGAGCTGTGAACACCCAGAGCAGGTTTAGATTAGACACAAGGAAAAAATTCTTCATGGGAAGGGTTGTAAAGCCCTGGAAGGGGCTGCTCAGGGCAGTGGTGGAGTCACCATCCCTGGGAGTGCTCAAAAAATGTGTGGATGTGGCACTTGGGGACATGGTTTAGTGGTGAACATGGTGGTGATGTTTTGAAAGTTGGATTGGATGATCTTAAAGGTCTTTTCCAACCTTAATGATTCCATGATTCCCATGCCCTTCAGAAAAGGCCAAATTCTGCATTAGAGGGTTGGTGCATCACCAGAGAAATTCTGATTTCTTTGCACAAGAACTCCCATCCTCCTGGAAGAGGCCAGCACGTGAAAAAACACCCCTGGTGCTGTTCAAAGGATTTCTGTCTCCACAAGCACATCAGAGCTGATCCGAGGAGGGATGAACTTGTGACCTCTCAGAATTCAGTTTCCTTTTGGGAGATTTATTGTGTGTTTTTGCTGCTATTTGTTCCTCACTGACAGCACCTCCCTCACTGTGTTGGAAAAGATCACAGGATCAGGGAATCACAGGATGGTTTGAGTTGGAAGAGACATTAAAGCTCATCCAGTTCCACCCTCTGGCCATGGGAAGGGACACCTTAAACTAGCCCAGGTTGCTCCAAGTTTATCCAACCTGGCCTTGGACACTTCCAGGCATGGGGAGACCACAACCTCTCTGTGCAGGGAATTAACTCTTGGATGGATCACCAGGCACTGTTCCTACCTCATGGACTCATTGATATTCTTGTTTTCCTTGACAGAAGTCTCCACCCATCCCGAAAAGCCATTTTCCTTGCTGAACCGATCCACTTCTTCTCTTGTCACTGCCCAGGGGGAAAGGTCACACTGGAAAACAGGAATCAGGCACTTCAGAATCACAGAATCATGCAATGGGGAGCTTAAACATCATGTCATTCCTCCCCCCTGCCCTGGGCAGGGACACCTTCCACTAGCCCAGGTTGCTCCAAGTTTATCCAAGGTGGCCTTGGACACTTCCAGGGATGGGGCAGCCACAGCTTCTCTGGGCAACCTGTGCCAGGGCCTCCCAACCCTCATAGGGATGAATTTCTTCCTAATTTTTAAGCTGGGAGGGCCATTTACTGCCTGTGTGCAGGCAGCTCAGCCCTCCCCAGCTCCCAGATCCTGGGCTGATAGAGAGCTCTCGGGGCAAGGTTCCTAATGGGATGTTGCAAGCAGCAATTCATTTATCTCATCTGAGTTACTGACACACCTCAGCCAAGCACGCATGGAATGGAGCTTCAAACACTGTCCCCTCTCCCAAATCTGCCTCTCAGCAGCCAGGAGAGGAGTTCCAGGTGTGGTGGCACTGTGGCCACAGTGATGACACCAGGATGTGCCAGGAGGCAGAGAGACCCTGACCCACAACAGCTCGTGGGGCAGGCACACAGATTTCCCTAAAACAGGCAAAATTGTCACCTCAGAACAGAATCCCAGAAAGGTTGAGGTTGGGAAAGACCTCCAGGATCATCGAGTCCACCCTGTGCCCCATCCCCACCTTGTCCCCCAGCCCAGAGCACTGAGGGCCACATCCAAGCCTTCCTTGGGCACCTCCAGGGGTGGGGACTCCACCACCTCCCTGGGCAGCCCCTTCCAATGCCTGACCACCCTTTCCATGGAGAAATTCCTCCTGATGTCCAACCTGACCCTCCCCTGACTCAGCTTGAGGCCGTTCCCTCTCCTCCTGTCCCTTGTTCCCTGGGAGCAGAGCCCAACTCCCCCTGACTCCCCACTCCTGTCAGGGAGATGCAGAAGCAATCAAAAAACAGTTATTGAGGGAAGTGTAATTTGTGGAGAAGTGGAAAAAGAAAAGCCACTCCCCTGCCCACCCATCACGAGTCATCTCCAGTTTTGGGCTCTCCCAAACCAGGCAAGTCTCAAACCGAACCTGGAAAGAGCTGCTGAGCCAGGGCTGGCACACGAAGAACATCAAGGGAGTTTTTAAATGAAGGAAACACACAGAAACACACAGAAACACACACAAATACACCCAAAGACACACAAACACACCCAAATACACCCAAAGACACACAAACACACACAAAACCACACAAACACACAACACAGACACGAAGACACACAAACACACGAACAAAGACACACAAAACCAAACACACACAAGGCACACAAAGACACACAAACCCACACAAAACCACCCAAAGACACCCAAAGACACCCCGAGCACACCCAGAGCTCCTCACCTTGTTGGCCAGCAGCAGGCAAGGCACGGGGTTCCCGTCTGGCAGCAGGAGCTTGCTGTCCAAATCCTGCTTCCACTTCTGGCTGTTGCTGAAGGTGCTGATGTTGGTGACATCAAACATGATGACACAGGCTGAGGCCTCCTTGTAGTACAGGCGGGTCATGGACGTGAAACGTTCCTGTCCTTTGGGATCAAAGGGGAAAAAATCCCCCCCCAGGGTCACTGTTTTGGGATTTGTTTGTGCAAATAACGTGTTTATCGTGGTCCATCCTTTTCTCAGCTGACATTGATGATCCCCACTCAAATAATGAGGAAATACAGGAACTCCAGTTTGACCCAGTGGTGGAGCTGGAGCAAACTGGGCAGCTCTGAATCCCAGCACTCAGATCATAAAGTCACGGAATCCCAGACCGGTTTGGGTTGGCAGGGAAATTAAAGCTCATCTCATCCCACCTCCTGCCATGAGCAGGGACACCTCCCACCAGCCCAGGTTGCTCCAAGCCCCATCCAACCTGGCCTTGGACACTTTCAAGGATGGAACAACCATAATATTTGCATTATTCCTGGTGTAACCTGGAGTCCCCTCAAGCCACCCCTGTGTCCCCACACACCTCTGAGGTGCTGGGAATGCCCAGGGATTGTCAGCTCGGGCATCTCCTTCTCTTGGGGCACAACAAGGGCACGGTGCCAGCCTGGCCCCCCTGCTTTCCACATCTCAAAAGCCTTTTTTTTTTGGTGCCAAAACCGAAACCAGTTTCTTGCTGCAACCCTCCCGCTGCCAACTTCTCCTTCCTGTTGCCTTTTTAAGGATTCCAGGCACAGGCGGCCGAGCAGCGAAACGGGAGGAAACCACAGCCCTGTTTTTCTCATCTCTCCGGATCCAGAGGTGCCATTTTAGAGACGCTGCTGCCCTGTCCTGGTGCCAGGGAATTTGGGAGCCACGTTTTCCTGCAGCTCTCTGGGCAGCAGGGGCTCCTCACTTCACCTCAGCACACGGAACACTGTCCCTTGGAATGTGTCCTGCTCCCATCCTGGTGCCCTCACCTCGGGAGCACCCAACAGCCTCCTCTTGCCATCCTTGCTCCCAAGGGATCCACTGGCCTTGCTCCCACAGCTCATGGAGCAGCCAGATCCCAATCCTGGCAGCCAAAGCAGTGTAAGGTCCATGAAGCTGCTCCATGCAAGGCTCAGGATTCCTGGCTGTCACGCCAGAAATCCAGGTTTTAACACAAGATCTGGAGCTGAGAAGTCACATATCCAGCTACAGATGAGCCTGTTTCCCATTTCCTCTGCTCTGGCTCTGAAACCAAAAGGAAATGCTCAGCAGGAATCACCGTCTGTGCTGCTGAGCTCCTTGCAAATAGGCTTTTAATTAAATATTTAAATTACTATGGCAGGCTAGAGCCAGCCCTGCAAAGCAGAGCAGTCACACCCCTGGAATGCACAGGCTTCTGGGATTTATTTTGGGAGCAGAAGGAAAAGGAAAAAAAAAGGAGAGGATGAGGAAGGGGGAAAGGAAGAGGAAGGGGAAAAGAAAAAGAAAAAGGAAGGGGAAAAGAAAAAGGAAGGGGGAAAAGGAAGGGGAAAAGGAAGAGGAAAAGGGCCAAGCCACTGAGAACTTTCAATTCTGCTCCTGTTTCCTGGTCCCTGTGGACTCACCTGCGATGTCCCAGAGCTGCAGCCGCACCGTCTCTGACTCCGACCACTGAACCACCTTCAGGGCAAAATCCACTAGGGAATCCCAAAAAAAAGGAAAGGAAACCTCGTCAGGGGTGTTCTGCACCACAGAGCTCATTCCTCCACAGCCTCTCCCCATCTCCCAGCACAGGCCAAATCATGGGGCCTTCCAGAACCCTGAACCAGTGGGTTTGTAACCAGCCCACCCACAACTCCAGGTTGGACAGGGCTTGGAGCAACCTGGGCTAGTGGAAGGTGTCCCTGCTCATGGCAGGGGGTGGAAGGAGATGATGTTTAAGGTCCCTTCCAACCCAAACCATTCTGTGATTTCAAGGGCTGAGGAGCCTCTGGATTCTCTTACCTAATTCCCAGACCCTCCTATTGTGACACCAGCAAAGAGACCTCAAGGAAAACTTAAGACATACAGAGACATGTCTTAACTAAAACCACAACACACTTCCACACTCAGGGGGTGGAATGAGATGAGCTTTAAGGTCCTTTCCATCATTCCATGATTTGATTTAACCAGTGCAGTGAGTCAGAAGGGGAAACCCTGTGTTCCTCAGATTCTGGTGGGTCAGGTTTCCTCCGCAGGGGAAAACCTGTGTGGCGCTGCTGGCAGCCACACTCAGCAGGGCTGGGACTTACCAAAACCAGGAACTAAGGGAAAAAAAAAAAGAAGAAGAAAAAAAAGTCTGCAGCTCTTCCTGCTGGGAGTGACCGTGGGCACAGCCCGGTGCTCTGCCCACTGGGATGTGGCTCTCCAGTGTTTTCCACTTTTAATCCATCCCCTCCTCGATTCCTGAATAAGAAGACTTAAACAGCTCTGCTTGGCCCCCACTATTTTGGGCCCCTGGGGAGATTTCCTGGGAAAAACCTTGTCAGCTCCTGCTCCTTCCAAGTTATTCATTTACACTGGTGCTGAACAAAGAACCACAACCCCCCTCAGCCCCATTCCCAGACCTGTCGCTGCCCCACCACCTTCCCAAGCACCACCAACACCCCGGTGGTGGTTCCAGGCTGTTAAATTCGTGCCAAACCATTAATTAATGCTGCTGGTTTTGCTGGGAAGAGCTGAGCCTGTAACCTCAGACTGTCCAGCTCCTGGGGGTCGTTATTCCCAGGAGGGGGGAGAAGGATGGGGCACCCCAGGGAATGAGACAGGCAGAGGGGTAGAAACCCCCGAGGGGCTCAGGGAAGAGGCTCTGGGAGCTGCTGCGGGAGATGCTCAACAAACCACCCATGGGAGCTTGTTCCTTTCCCAAATTCCCGCTCCCACGGCCGCGGGGGGAGCAGGACGAGCATCCCACGGGCGAGGGGCGGCGGTCCCGGGGGCTCGGCCCAGGGTGGGGAGGGGTCCAGGGGCGCTCCGGGACGGAGCCGAGGAGGGCTCGGGATGCGAACCGGGGACAGACCCGGTGGAGAGGCCGGTGCCGGTCCCGGGGGAGGGCACCAGGACCCCGGGGAGGACCCCAGGGAGAGCACTGGGACCCCGGGGAGAGCATCGGGACCCCGGGGAGAGCATCGAGACGCCGGGGAGAGCATCGAGACCCCGGGGAGGGCACCGGGACTCCCTGGAGAGCATCGGGACCCCGGGGAATCTACAGAGACCCCGGGAAAACCCCTGGACCCCCCGAGCCCCCGGGGATGGCAGCGGCACCCCCGGGAAGCCCCCGAGCCCCCCGGGGAGGAGCCCGGGGATGGCACCGGGATGCCCGGGGGAGGGCAGGGAGCCCCCGCTCACCTCCCACGGTGGATTTGTAGTGCCGGTTGAAGCTGTCGTTCGCGTAGCGCTGCACCAGCGATGTTTTGCCCACCGTGGCGTCCCCGACCACCAGCACCTTGAACATGCGATCGCGCTGCCCCATCCCGGCCCCGGCCCCGGCCCCGCCGGTCATGTGAGAGGGTCAGGTGGGGCAGCGGCGGAACCGCGGCGGGGCTGCCGGGACCTGTAGTTTGCTCGGCCGGGACCGGCCCTGCCTGCCCCGGGGCACCCCCGGGACCCAGCCCTGTGCATCCCCTGCACCCCCGGACCCAGCCCTCTGCACCCCCAGATCCAGCTCTGTGCATCCCTTGCACCCCCGGACCCAGCTCTGTGCACCCCCAGATCCAGCTCTGTGCATCCCCTGCACCCCCAGATCCAACCCTGTGCATCCCCTTCACCCCCAGATCCAGCCCTGTTCATGCCTTTCACCCCCAGATCCAGCCCTGGGTGTCCCCTGTACCCCCAGCCCCATGCACCCAGCCCCAGTCCTGTGCATCCCCTCCATCCCCTGGCCCTGCCCTCTGCACCCCCAGCCCTGCTCTGGGCACCCCCTGCACCTCCAGTCCCATGCACCCCCGGTCCCATGCACCCCTGTAGCCCCAGATCCCACCCTATGCACCCCCAGATCCCACCACATGCACCCCAAAACCCCCAGCCCCTGCCCCGGGCACCCCTGCACCTCCAGCCCCTTTGCAACCCACAGATCAACAAAAAGACTCCACAACACACGCACAAACACATATAAATCTATTTTTATTTCTTCAGAGTCTTCATGCCCCAGTGTTTCTCTCTGCAACTAGAAAAGGCCAACGCACTCCTCTCCTCCCCAGGAGACGAGGGTGAGGTTGATATTCAGTGTGTGGGACCTGAGCCAGCAGGGGCTGGGTGGCTGCTCCCCCACCTCTGGCACTGCCAGGGCTTTGTTTTGGGATTCTGCACCAAGATCCTTGTTTGGTTGAGCTTGAGACACAGCCCTGCAGGGAATCAGTCCCCAGCAGCACATCCTGCAGCTGGGGAGCATGGGGGTCCTTCCACAGCCAGCGATTCCTGCAAATCCAGGGGCTCAGGGTGCCCCAAAAGCTGCAGAACCTTTTTGACCCACAAACCTTCATCAACAGGCACAGGCAGAGGCCACGTGTAGGCAGCGCTCAGGGAGCCAGGGCTGGGCTCTGTATCCAGAACAAACACCCAGATTCCTGCTGGGACCCCCCACGACCTCCTGGGACCTGACCAAGGCCAGGTCCAGGTAATCTGGCACTTACACTAATCCCACTTTGCTTCATGCCCAGCAATTTAATTGATTTTCATAACTCTCCTGCCACTGTGTGTCAAAAGAGCTTCAGCCTGAACTAAAATAAGCTGCAAAACGTGAGAGGGACCTTGAACCAAGCAGAGGTATAAGGAGGAAACACACCACAGTCCACATAAATAAATGTAATCTTTATTTAACCAAATATAATTTATCAGTTAAGTTGACATCTGTCAGTTATAGGAACTATAAATAATTAAGACAGTCTTTTTTCCTTTAATAAAAGAATAGACCAGGATTTTCATCTGCAGGCAGCTGTAGAGTAGGCATGCATTTGAGTGCAACCAGTGGGAAGAGGTTTTTCCATCAGTATTCCTCAGTTTTAAATTAGATTCTTCCCTGCCCATGCCCCAAACACACCTTTATACCATATATAATGTAGAGACCCCTGGCCGAGCAGCTCCCACCCCCTCGGGGTCTCTGCACAGGAGACCACGAGCGGCAGATTGTCCCTCTTTTCTTGGAGAAGTGACAAGTGATGTGACACCTAAAAGACCAGGAGAGCTTCTCTATATACAAATAAAAGCTGAAGTGTTAATGGAAGGGAGTCTCGTATCTATTCGTCAGCATCAGGCAGAGGAATCGTGTGGGCAACAGAGAATGTTCCAGAATTCTCCGGGCTGAGAGTTCAGCACAGCAGCACAGTTGGGGTTTGGTTTGTGGTTGGGGTTTTTCGGGTTATTTTGGGCACAGCTTTGGCCAAATGAGATGTGTGAGAAGTCACCAGGGGGGAGAGAGAGGAGGATCAGAGCTGCTCCCACACGGGACATGGCACAGACTAACTTTGGTCTTGACCTGCCCCCCCAGGTGCATCGGCTCTGGTTTCTGGGAGAAGCAAGAACTATCCCCAAGGAACTGCTCCTTGCCTAAAAAGCAAAGCTGTCTCCACTTAGGCAGCGCTTTGTGGAGCTCAGGTAGGTCTGGCATTGCCCAGAGCAACAAAGAGATGTCCCCACCTGGAGTTATTTCGGGTGAAGATCAGCGCTGCCAGCACCACAACTGGGCTGACTCAGAGAAAGCCAAAGGGAGGAGACAGACACTGGTTTGTGTGACAAATATGGAAGTTAAGCAAAAGGAGGAAGTGGTACCAGTAAAGGATGGTCGTGTTGCAGTGGGAGGAACAGGTTTAAAGCAGAAAGCAAAGCAGACAACCCCAAACCCACGCCCAAATTTCGGGTTCTGCTCCATGTGCCAAACATGGTTCCCGGAGCCCTCAGGGCAGTGCCATGTGGCCCGGCTGTCAATCAAATCAGGAGCCCGCCCACACCATGCACAACAGACATCTGATTGGCTGCAGCATCAGTCACTCCGGCTTAGCGGGGCGCTGAGTGGTCAGTGAAGCAGCAGTCCCGCCCGGGGGGCGTGGCCACAGCAGCCGAACAGTATAAAAGAGGGGCACAGATGCTCCATCTTCATTTTGTCTCTGGGGTGGTACCATGGGTGTTGTTTAGAGCTCCTCACGGGCAACTGCCTCAGCCTCCAGAACTGATTTACATCCAAATGGGAGCACTAAAGAGCATTGAAAGCTGACAGGAGGATCATTTCAAGCACCTCAGTCACAGAGACAGGTTTCCTCTCACTGTGTCACTGCAGGCTGTGCGAGAGCCCTTCCAGCATCGACTAAACAGGGGAAGGGAAGGAATTTCAGCCATCACTGAGCTGAGCAGCACAAAAAGCAGGAGGGGAAGAATCAGAGAAGCGAAGCCTGCACTCCCAGTGCTCAGCCAGCACTTCCAAGCTGGGCTGTCACCCCAATCCTAGATTTTACACGCCTCTGCTGCAGCCCTGTCCTGAGAGCTGCACCAAGAGCCAGGGCTCCAGAAATCCAGCTGTGCCTGCTGACCTGTTTTCCAGGAGAGAAGGAATCCTGTGGCTGAACATGGATGTCTGTCTCTAACAGGCACCAAAAGCCTAACGCTGACCAGCTTGAAACAACCTCAGGCTCAGCTGAGAGAGGCACTGGGTGGCTTCTTCCCGGCTGCCCTGGGTCCATCAGCAGCGCTCAGCAACTGAAATAAAATCTGTACACACAAAATAGGAGCTGTTTTTCTATCCACCCCTTCCTGAAAGTTAACAGCACTGAGCAGACTGCTTTGAAAATGGTGCTGTGCCCACAAAGAGCATCCATGAGGGCTCCAGCAGATCCTCCAGTGCAGCACTGGCAGGTGGGAGGGGTATGATGGATGGGGAAAGCTCACAGCCCCTTATGACAAAGCACAGAGCAGCTGAACTCAGTTCACAGAGGCAGAACAAGCAGTGTGAGATGCTGCTGGATGGTTGGCAAAAGGGAGACTCAACCTGCCAGCAGAGACCAGCCTGCTCATGGCCAGGCTTGGGGGCTTTGCAGTCCTCAATGCCAAGATCACTCACTTCCCTGTGGGCACCCAGGACCCTTCCTCACCTTCTTCACTCATCCCTCTCCCAGAGACTCCCTCAGCCTTTGGGTGCTGGGCACGGGATGGAGCTTCAGAGAGCCAACACAAGGCAGGAGGGCGTCAGGGCAGAGAAGGCAGGAGATGCCCCATGCCCTCCTCCATGAGGTTGTACTTTGCTAGAAGGTGCCAGTTCAGTAAAATAAACCTGAACTTGAGCTCCAGGATTTAAAACGCTTATGAAGCGAAAAAGCAGCCCTTGACCTCGAGTGAGTGGGGCAGGGGGGGCTCCTTGCACGATCTGACTGACCAGGAACTTCACTGTAACCTTGGTTCAGACACAGCTCCTACGAAATTGCACTTGGTGATTGTCTTGTTACACTTATTTTTTTTTTTTTGTCCTTCCTAAAACTAGAGATATTTTTTTCTGTACAAACCGGGCTTGGAATATAAACCCCATAAAATTCCCATTGAAAATAATGAGAATCCAGTACTAAAGATGAAGTCTCGAGAGAGACAGACAGGGTGTGGGGAGGAAGCAAAGAAGAGTAAAGGTGGAGGAAAAGAAGTGACAAGAAATGAAAGGAGGAGGAGGAGAAGTGTGGGAAGGGGGGAGCAGGGGGAGCTAATCCCCCACATCGGAGTCCCGGTCCCCGATGAGCCAGAGGATGTGAAAGCTGACAGCGAGGAGCCCTGTTCCAATGAGGTCCCCCAGTGCTGTCAGGTATGGGATGGAGAAGTTGTCTGGGTCGAGGTCCCTGTTCCACATCCAGTGCACCATCCAGTCAGCGATGTAGAGCAGAATAAGAACCTGGGAGGCAGGAAGGGAAGAGCCACGTCAGCCACAGATCCCAGAGGTCAGTTCTGCACGTCTGGCTCTCAGAAGCACAGCCACATCCCAAAGAATGGTGCTGGGGAGGGGTCAGAACCCCCTTCCCGAGTGCTGTGGACCTACAACTCAGCTGACTGAGCAGTTCCCACTGCAGGTGACCTGGCAGTGTCCCCTGGCCCAGCCCGGGGGCTCAGCACTCACCTGGAGCAGTGCAGCTGTCATGTAGAACACCACGAAGATCAGGGTGAGCGTGGTGTGGCCACCCTGCATGGAGCTGATGGTGTAGAGGAACACCAGGTGTCCAGGCACCACCAGGAGGAAGAGCACCCGGGCAGAGCGGGAGTTCACGTCTGCAGGGGGACAGAGATGGACCCCAGGCTTGAGACAGGCCTGCACGCACAGCTCTGCAGCTCAGCTGGGCTCTGGGGGACGAGGCAGCACAACTGTGGCCAAAGCAGAAGCAGAGGCCACCACCCTGGACCCTGCTCCCACACTGCACCCTGAGCATTGAGCCAACCATCAGGATACACAGGGACTCTGCACCAAGGAGAGTTTAATTCCATCCCCAGAGTAAAAGCTGTCTCAGAGCTCAGCTGCCACGTCCCACCTCTGACAGTGCTCAGCACAGAGCTCCCAAGAATTTACTGTGAACACTGAATTTCCTTGCATTTCTGCCTGTACCTTGTCTGGTGATCAGTTTTCTGACAGATCATCACCACACCGGAGATCTGTCCCCTCTCCTTGCTCTTCAGGGACAGCCTTGGCCCAGAAGGCCAGGACCCTGGCAGTGTCCCTCCCTGGAAGTGTCCAAGGCCAGGTTGGATGGGGCTTGGAGCAACCTGGGCTAGTGGAAGGTGTCCCTGCTCATGGCAGGGGGTGGGACTGGATGGGTTTTAAGGTCCCTTCCAGCCCAAACCATTCTGGAATTCTGTGCCCCAGACTGCAGGCTGTTAAGCTTATCTAGGAATAACAAGCTCTGCCCACCTTCTGTGCTGGAATTTGGGCTGTGCTCTGCCCCACAGCTGCCACCCAACAGGCTTGGGCCACCCGTTCCTGTGCAACGTATTTCAAGGGCTGACACAGATACCTGAGCTGCAGAAAGTGCTGCAAGGGCTGGGGCACTTCCAAGGGGCTGTTTTGGAGCTCTCTCCTGGCATCCCACTCATGTGCAGGTAGGTGGAGATGCGGCTGGCCTGCACTGCCACCAGGTTGCCACCCACACCTGCAGGTCAGGAGAGAGAGGAGGGTGATGTTTCAAACACTTTGAAGAGCTGTTTTCAACAACCAGCAGATCTAGAATTGCCAGGTGCTGGGATAATGTAGGGCAGTCTATTTTTGACCCAAATTCCACTTTTGCAGGATGTGAGGAGCTCAGACAAAGCACACTGTGCTGTGGCTTCCCTTCAGGCCCCTCAGTAAAACAGATGCCATTCTATTACTGCAGCTTGGGTTGGAAGGAATATGTGAAACAAAAATGATGAGTCAGACAGCAAAACACACACAGGAAGTTTAAAACTATTCTTTTTCACATGAGGCGTAATGAAACTGTGAAACCCACTGGCACAAGAGGCACTGGCTCAGAATTAACTCCATTTCTTGCAAAAAGTAATTAAAAAAGCAGTTTTCCTGGTTCATTAGGCAGAAAGGAGGCCAAAGCTTTATACCAGAAGCAATTGGATTTCCTGACTCCCAGGTGCAAATACAAATCTCTTATGTTGCCAGGTGCCACAAGGTAAATATTTTGGAAGATGGGGGTGTCCCACCAGACAGGAGAAATGAGGAAGTGAAGAGGTCCCTGGAAAGGTGTCTGTTAGGGAACAGCCTCCCAGGGCAGTGAAAGGCTGGCACTGGGGGGAGCCAGGGTGCTGTAAAGCTTGAGTCAAAGCTCAGTGCCTCACTGGCATCCAGAAGGGATTCATTGTCCGTAACTTGCTTGAAATAAGGCACAGGGGACAACTCCACTGCTTGCCAAGAGCCTCCAAGAGCTGCCAGCCCAGCCAGGGTGGGAAGGACTCACCATTGATCACTGGTGTAAAAACAGCCATCCCAGCAAAGTTCGGATCCGAGACCGTCCTGTCCAGAATCAACCCCCCAACGCTGCAGGGGGAAGATTGAAGGGGTCAGTGCTGGAATTCTCCCCTGGAATGAGGCTGTGGGGTGGGGGGACAGGAAGCCTCCCACCTGCTGATGGCCATGGCGATGACCACGGGCTCCCAGCTGGAACAAAGCACCTCCCAGGTCGCTGGATCCTTCCTGGCAACGAAGACCCAGATGGGCAGCAGAGCCAAGAACAAGGCGCACACCAGGGGATTCACGTAGAACTTGCTCTCTGGGGGAAAAATGTGAGAGATATCAAGGACACATCCCACTGCAGTGAGGCAGCTGCTGCTTCAGCAGAGCTCAGCGAGGCTGGCCACAGGCTGCTGGAGTTGGGAATGCCAGGAAGGGCAGGGAAACTGGGCCAGTCCAGCCTCAACTCTGCAGGACGTGGTCCTTCTTCCTCCTGGTGTACTCACAGGGGTGGGAGTTCTACTCACGGGGGTGTCAGTACAACATCAGGGGGCACAGGGCTGTGAGTACAACACTTGGGTCTGTTTATCAACAGATCTGAGTGAGATCTCTTCCATTTCAACTGCTCATTCCCAATTAGTGCTCCTGGGCAAGATCTCCCAGTGTTGCTTCACCTCTGGATGAACCTGGCTGAGTCACATCCCTGTATCCCGGCCCCAGGAAGGAGGAGGAAGTGGAGAGTCTGCAGCTGCAGCCCTGCTCTGAGGATCCCCAGCTGGTGCTGACTGCAGAGCAGATGAAATCCAGACCTTCCTTCTCCCAGTGCTTCAGCCCTGGCATCTGGAAGGGGACAACCCCTTCCTGACCACTTTACCCATTGAGAGGGAAGTGTGCAGGTCCCTGCCAAGAGTGTCTGCAGCTACAAGGCACTGAGAAAGTCCATTTCCTCCCCTTATCAGTCTGACTAGATCTCACTAACTGAGGGAGCTCCAGACCAGGAATCCTGCACACCCCAAGGACAGAAAGGGCAAAGGAAGAGGGTGAGATGAGTGGGAGACACAGCAGCACAGGGAAGGACCAGGCAAAGGCCTTTTGTTGCTCCTCACCCAGGTCCTTGTACAAGCCACAGCTGATTCCTGACAGCAGAGCCAGGGTGACCAGATCCCCCAGGCTGGCAGCAATCGGGGTGGCCACATTATCAGGGTTGATCCCCATCCTCCTGGATCCAATGATGACCCCAATCATAATCATTCCTAGAGGCAAAAAGAGGAGAAAGAGCAGGATGAAGCCAAAGGAAGCCAAGCATTTTAGGCAGAGGTGCACAGAGGGCGTTCAGTATCTGTCTCTCACCCAGAAAAAGGGAAGCAACGAAGGCAGTGGCCACACTGCTGGCACAGAGCAGGACAGCGTGGTACAGGCTGAAGTGCCCGTCTGGGATCCATCCGAACACCACGGCAGCGATGGAGGCCAGGAAGCCAACCACGGTGGCCTGAACCTGGAAATGGAGGCCAGAGGGTCACCAAGAGAGCAAACAGTCCCAGGGTGAGGGGAGAGGTTGCCCAGAGAAGCTGTGGCTGCCCCATCCCTGGAAGTGTCCAAGGCCGGGTTGGACGGGGCTTGGAGCAACCTGGGCTAGTGGAAGGTGTCACTGCCCATGGCAGGGGGTGGAATGGGATGATCCTTTAATGCCTCTTCCAACCCAAGCCATCCTGGGATTCTGTTCTATGATTCTAAGAGAGAAGCACCACCCAGAGTCCCATGTCAGGTGGATTAGAATCCAGCAGGGAAACACCAAGTCTAACCTGGAGGGCAAACTTGCTCCAAACTTGCACAACCTCCCCGTTAGATGCAAAATATTGACAGTCAGCAGCAAACCCAGGTATTTAAACCTGCATTTGCCAGAGTTGAGCTTGCACCAGCTACCAATATTCCACTTCCTTCTCCTTTCCCTTTTTCTTACCAGTAGCAGAGCCATGTTTCCTGTTATCATCTTCCAGAACTCTTTGGGTGTGTCCATTTGGCCAATATTAGCCTGCAAGAGGACATGGAATGTCATTAAAGACTGACAGCACTTTGCACATGCCAACAGTGAAATTGCTGCCTTCCAGCTCTGCAGAGGTGTGTTTGCAGGTGTGAGGGGCCAGGCTGTGACCGTCCCTTGGGCTGTACACCCTGGGTAACTACAGCACCTCTTCCAACTGCTACTCTGGATTTACCTGATGGAAATCTCGCAAAAGCACCGAGATCCCCCCTGTCCCTTTGCAGTCACACACTGCTGCTCACTGGCCCACCACAATTCACTGCCCTTGCTGATCCAGCCAAGCCTGGCTCAGGCCCAGCTGGGTCATGCTGCCCCTCAGGTCAGCCAGGCAGGAGGGAAGCAGGGGTGCCAGGTCAGCTGTGTGCCCCTGCTCCGACACGGAGCGAGGCCAGAGCAGCACGTGGGCAGAGGAAGCTGGCAGCAAAAACCCCTGTTTCGGTTAAAAGCTGAGTAAACAAGGCCAGTGCCACGTGGGGATGGACTGGCGGGAAGCAGCCATGGCACAGGGGTCACCTGGCACCGCTGCAGCTGCGGGAGATGCTAATCAGGATAACCAGGAGAGACGGAAAGTTGCTTTAATTCCCTGGAGCACGATCCAAAATAGCCCAGCGGAGTCGGCTGGTCACTGCAGGGCACGAGCTCTGCTTTTCCCTACCACCTCCTGGGGCTTTTTATGGAAGAATGGAGAAGCAGAGCACATAAACTTATGTCTAATTTGTGTTATTAGAAGCTGATGAAGACGAAGCTTGAGCGTTGGAGCTGTTGGCTGACAGCGCCAAACTCAAACTTCTGCACAACAATGCAGCAGCAATTTCCTCCTCTCAGGTTTCCTTGCTGGCCTCCAGCAAAGGAAAACAAAACAAGAAAACCAGGAGTCAATGATCAACTAATCCCTCTGCTCTCCTTGCTGCATGTGCTTGAGAGCTGCCAGCTCAATTCAACCAGCACTGAGATGCCCTCAGCTCTGGAGTGAATTATTCTGGGCAGTTTAGTGGAGAGGAGGAAGGAATGGGGGAAAAGCAACAAAAAGTTGACTGGAGTAGCACATCCAGCACAGGAATTTGAGCTCCATATGAAGCCTGACCTTAAAATTCCAGCCACATGGCAATTAGGCTGGGATTAACATAACCTAGCTGTAGTCACTGCCAAGAGGATTTAAATCCTTTAACTAATGGGAGAGTTTTGCTTCTTAATTGTGAAAGGAATGTCTGAGGTGCCTTAATGCAGCACTAATTAGAAACCCACAGTCTGAGAAACCACTCTGGGCTGCTTTCCTGGGGAGAGAGCACGGGATCCACCCCGGGAAGCTCCGGTCAGAGGGGAGCTCCCCCCACACCCCTGCACGTGGGACCCCACGCCGAGGGATGAGCAGGGCAAGGGGAAAAAGGAAAGCCCAAGAGATTGTCCTGTCCCACCACACACAGACACAAGGAGGCTGGACTTGATGATCTCTCTGGAGGTCTTTTACACCTTTAATGATTCTGTGATTCCATGATTTTAAGGAGGCAGAGAGCAAGGCTCTGGGATCCGTGTGGAGGCAGCCAGGGCAATGGGAGGCAGAGGCCTGTTGGCTCACAAGGCTGATGCCATGAGGCACCAGGAGACCAAGCTGGTGGGTGCTCTCTGTGCTGGTGTCCTCGTGATCCTCCTGCAGCCACCAGAGCAGATGGGGCAAAGTTTTGCATTGCTGACTGTCCACATTTTTGGTTCTCTGCCAAGCCTTCTCCAACACTACTCTGTGCCAGCCCCAGGAGGGAAGAGGACACACAAGTGCCACTCTGCCTTTGTCCCAGGAGAGCCAAGCACTCACCCTGACCAGCCCATGCTCAGAAAGTGCAAGCTGGGCAAGGCCAAGAGGGAGAAGAGCCTGTGTCTGGGACAGCAAGGATCCTGTCAGGATCTGAACAATGGAGAATGAATAAAACAAAGGGATTTGTTTCCCAGAACAAGGGGCAAACAAAGCTCAGGCTCTGTCCCTGCAGGCCCTGGCTCTGGAGCACAGCTGGGCCAGGGGTAGTGTGGGGCCTCCCAGCAGCTTTGCCCTCCCCACAGTGCCTGGGGAGAGGAGCCCAGCCCCGAGAGGAAGCAGCCCCAGCCCAGCTTTTGCCAGGCAGTGCTGGCACAGCCATTCCCAGGGCAGCTCAGGGCCCTGCTCCTTCAGGGAACAGAGGGCAAGGGCTGCATCCAAGAAGGAGGTGGTCCCCATGGTCAGCAGGAATCATCAGGCCAAGCCAAGGGCTAGTCCAGGGAAATGCTGTTTGCCTTCCTGCTCCCCAGGGACAACCTCAGACCCTGCTCATGTGCCACTGGCTCAGGGGGTGGGATCAGCTTCCTCAGGATTCACACAAGGAGCTGCTGCAAGGGGGACAGGGGGCTGTGCTGAGCTGAGCAGCCCAAAATGTTGGCTCTGGAATGCACCAGAAACCTTGGACCTCAGAGGCCAACAAGAGCTACTGAGGAGCAAAGAGTCACAGCTGGAATCTCCCCATTGCTCCAGATGGAAGAAGGAAGGAGCTGGGAGAGCAGATCCAGAGGGACCTGTTCCACTCTGCTGTGCCTTCTCCTGCAGCAGGCAGAAGGGGAAGGCTGAAGGGAAGGGAACATGCCAAGAAGGAGGTTGCTGCTGCCACCCAGGCAGACAGTTCTCCATCCCTACATCTCAGTGAGCACTTCCCAAGCAGCTCTCTCGAGCCAAGGCACATCAGCACTGCCAAAGCCAAGGCCAGGCTGGCTGCTGCAAGGACTCTCTCGTCGTCACAGAGGAGCCAGAAGCTTGGCAGCAGGCAGCTAACACCTTCTAGATGTAAAATTCCAAGCTCCCATCGTGGGGAACACAGGGACATCAGGCAGTCACTTGCTGTCATGCTCAAGCAGAAGATGCCTTGCAGCAGGAAGGTGTTATTGTCCCTGTCAGGAGAGGGTGTTGGTCTCTCTCCAGCAGCTCCTGAGACAAGAGTGCTGTGTTGGAGGGACATTTAAACACAAAGCAATTCATTTACAGCTGGACTAACAGTGCTCCGAGGAGCTCACAAGAGCCTGCCCCATCCCTCACAGGGAGCTCAGTGTTCCACAGGAACCCCACTGAATTGGAGCAGCAGATCTCCATCACTTCAAGAGCCTGTCAATCCCCCTGCAAGCTCTCAGTGCAAGGTCCCCTCTGCTTTGCTGTACAGTTCTCCCCAGGCACTCTCCTCCCCAGCCCTCCCCACCCTGGCTCCTGCTCTGATAACATTCCTGCACCAGCTTCCTCGTGGAAAAAACTGGATCCAAGCACTCCAAAGCCATCTCTCACCATGCCCTCAGGCCCACTGAGCAGCCAGCACAAGGAAGTGACCTGTCAGCAGAGCTTAAGGACCATTAAACCTTCAAATCCCATCAGCCCAGTGGGATGGAAACACCTTCCCAGCGTGCTGAACTCCGGGCTCTGGTGTCTGCGGTCACTGACACAGAGATTTTCCTTCCCACCTCTTCCCAAACCCGGCATCCAGCTCCCCCCCTCAGCTCCCTGGATACTCACAGCAGTGGACAGGCGGGATGCCAGGGTCATCTCCAGGTTCCCCTTCAGGCCCAGCAGTGCAGGTACTAAGATAAACAGATTGGTCACGTTTTTGAAGACGTCCCAGTGCTGCAGGATTAAAACACAGACAGATCATCAGATCTCAGCATGGCTGATCCAAACCCTTGCTCTGCACTGGGTGACACTTCCTCATCACCTCTGACACCTGGCACTGCCCCCAGCAGCCATCCCAGTCCCTTTCCTGCTGCCACACTTGGAATTTTGCAGCGATTTTACCATTTTTGACATTTGTGTAGCAGGGACCACGTTTTCCCGCTGAGTTTAAAAACCAGCTCTGAGCTGGCAATTTTCAGTGAAAAATCCCCCTAAAATTCCCCAACTGACAAAATGTTTACACACAGAGAGGCCAAAATAGGGAAAGAGGAAGAGACTTTGCCCAATATTTGCAATTTTTGGCAGAATCTGAAGCTTGGTCAGTCTTGGCTGAGAGCCATTCCTACGTGTGTGTCTCACAAATACATTTTGGAGCAAAGAATTGCTGCTCTCTGATCCAAAATCCAGCCCACTGTGGCCACCTTTTCCTGGTATCTCACCTGGCACCTACATTCCAGGTATTTCCTAACTCTTCTGGCTCTCCAGTCAAGTCCCCTCCTCTGGGATGAGGGAGGGAGGCAGCCACGGTTATTTAGGAAAAAACAAAGGGTAATTGCAGGGTAAGCAGCCTTATAGAAGAGCAGCTGGCTTGCAGGAAAACACAAAACCACTCCAAAAAACCTCACAATGGCATTTAAAAAAAACCTCAGACCTCACTGCCCCTTTCTGTATTGTCATGGATGTGTTGCAAGAAGGCCCCGTGTCCAAAATAACTCCTGCTTCCCACACTGCCTGGCTGCCAAACTCCTTAAAGGCCACTGGAATCACACTCCCAGCAGCTGGTGCTGTGCTGGGCAGGTTAAACATCACAGCTCTGCAGCTTTGCCTGTCAGTGGTACCTGCAAAAGTTACCTGGGAGAGGCTCCACCTCTCCCAGAGCTTTCCTTGGCAGTGTCAGACTGCCAGGCTCAGCAGGGACATGGATTTCTTTCTAGGACAAGGAAGACTGTGGGCCAACACCTTAGAGCAAACATAAGTCACTCTCTCTGGGTGACTAATACCTTCCTCTGGGGAAGGGTTTCAGTCATTTTTGTTTGTTTTTCCATCCCTCACCACTAAGCCAACAAGTTCCAGCTTCCTGTAGGTCCCTTGCAACACCACACTCAAGCTGCACTCGAAAAACCATCGGAGAGAGAAAAGTGCTTGAGATGGATGAGCTGGGACCACTTTTCCTCAAAGGCAAAAAGTGTTTTCCAGTCAGTAAAAATTCCCTTAATGCTTCTGAGGGCTTGGTAAGACAAGGTGAGGGTAGGGAGGCCCTGGCACAAGTTGCCCAGAGAAGCTGTGGCTGCCCCATCCCTGGAAGTGTCCAAGGCCAGGTTGGAGCAACCTGGGCTAGTGGAAGGTGTCCCTGCCCATGGAGGGGGTGGAATGGGATGAGCTTTAAGGTCCCTTCAACCCAAACCATTCTGGGATGCTCTGACAAGCTGACCAAACACTCCAGCTCCCAGGTACGTGGATAAAAGCTGCTCAGCTATTTCAGGGACAACCACAACCCTCTGTCTGCTCCTGAGGATCCCAGTCTCCAGGAGAATCCACCATCCCTGGAGGTGTCCAAGGAACGACTGGACGTGGCACTCGGTGACAAGGTGGGGATTGGTCACAGGATGGACTTGGTGACCTTGGAGGGATTTTTGAACCTCAGTGACCCTGTGACTGTGTGTGATGTCAGTGCTCACTGCTGAGCAGAGCAGCAGAGCACAGACTCAGACACTCCATCCAGCCCAGCCTCACGTCAGGCTGTGCTTCCTTTAAGACACATCCAGGCGAGCTCGGCTCTCCCCACTCTATTTTTAGCAGTCACTGTGATTATTTTGCTGGGTGTTCCACGGGTGAATCCTCTGCTACAACTTCCCTCAGCAGCATCCAGAACTCAATCAGCGAACACCACGCTCCCACTTCCCAGCAGGACAAGCTGGGTGTCACCAGAATCACTTAATGAGAGGAACATCGTCATTAGTCAGACCACGGGCTGGAGTGCAAAAGTTTCCTGGCTCCAGAGATCACAGAGGCAGGATCAGGCAAGAAGAGCCAGCACCAGTTCAAACCCTCCCTCACCTTGTCCCAACCCTGGCTTTGTAAATTAACCTTTAAGGGGGAGGCTGCACTGCAAACTGGTGCCAGAGGCAGCTCCCTGAGCAAGACAGGGCTGTTTGTGGAGAAAGGAATAAAAGCCATCTTTGGGGAAGGAAAACAAGGAGGTTTCTGCAGACCTCAGCAGCTTGCTCGCTGCAAAGAGCAGGACCCATGGGCTCCTGCCAACTTACTTAATATAAGATGTTATACAACACTGGGCTACGGGCATTTCCTACAGCTCCAAGGCCTCCTTGGCTCCTGCAGGGAACAAAGATCCCTGTGGAGATGTGTGCCCATGATGTGGCTCCATGGGGAGAACCAGGGCCAGGCTGTTTTGGGGAAGACAACAAAATGGGAAAGAGAAGAGGAAATAAGACTTTAAGTTCAGGACATTGAGATGATAAAATTCCTTTCTGCCTATAACAGCCCCTCTGAGAAGTACAGAAATCAGCATTTTTCAGGGAAAGATCCTCCAGCATCATCCAGTCTGCTCCAGGCAAAGAGGAACTGGGGAGTGAGAGGGTTCTGGCTGCCTTCCAGCAGGGGCTGTGGGAGAGAATTACAGGCAGAGGCACTCACCTCCAGCACCTCCTCCCTGCCCTCTGCAGAGGGGCAGCACAGGGGCTATAAGACACATATATAATATGTGACACACACACAGTCTGGCTTTCACTTATTTCAGCTTTATTTTCTACTAAGCCACAGCCCCTCTGAACACAGATCTACCCAGACACAGCAGATCCTGGTGTCTCAGAGCAGACAGGTCTGGAGGGTCTGGATGAAACACCAACCCCCAGGTGCTGTTTTGCAGCTCCCTCCGGTCCCGCTGCCTTTCGGGAGCTCTGCACCTACAGGAAGATATTCCCAGGGGATCAGCTGCCCCTCAGCTGTGTCATTTCAGTCCCTGGGTGTGAAGTCAAGGCTCACAGCTCACGAGGAAGAGCTGGTTTTGCTCGGATGGCAGCAGGGTGGTGATTCACGGCTCAGGGGAGGGGCTGCTGCAGGTCGGAGCTGCGACTGCCTCGGTGCAGCTGCTTCTCCCGGCATTCTCCCTCCAAAATGCCACGGAATGGGCAGCCCTAACAGGAATCCAGGGCTGGCAGTCCCTGACAAGCACCCTGGAGGGATGGTAACACCAGAGGGGGTGAAGCAGGGGAAAGGAGCAGACTCCCTCATCCATATGAAATCCTGTCCATCCAAAGAACCTCCAGAGAGCTGATAAGTCTGGAAAACAACAGGGGCTCTGACGGGAAAGGGGACTGTGCCAACAGTCCTGCACTGTACACAAAAACCAGCCAGGGCACTCACATGTACCTGGCCTGGAGTCTCCCAGAGGGAGCAGAGGCAAATCCTCCTCCTGAGAGGCACATTCCCAGGGCCACGTTAATGGGACAGCATGGCCAAAGGCCAGGGCTGCTTGTTTTCACAGTGGGGAGACCAATTACAGCTGGCTGATTAGTCCAGTTCTCCAAAACACGGGACATGGAGTGTATGGAGCCCCCAGCCAGCACCAACCATGGCTGCATCCAAAGCCACGGGACTCCAGTGACCCACTCCACATGCTTCCTCCTTTCATCCCAAGGCTTTGAGCCTTTGGAAGCCAGTTATCAGGATCAGCTCCCCAAGCCAAGCCAACACGCTTCCCATCCCCCTTTTCCCACCCTATGGCTCATTTAATCCCAAGGCTAAAGGGAGTTAGAGCTGTTGGCAGGAAAAGCTGCACAGCCACACGCTGTGTGGGACACGGGAATTACAAAGTTTTATTTCTAATGGCCATAAAAAAGAAAGGCAGGAGAACACAGGGCTCAGCTGCAGTATCCCAGCCCTGCCCACTCCTTCCCAGCCAGAAGAGCTGCTCCTTCTCCAGGAAAAACTTTAGGTTGGGTTCAAATCCCTGGCTCTGGGGGACTTCCAGAAGAGCCACGCAGGAGTTTACAGGGACCTTGCAGAGGGAAACATGCTTGAAATGTCTTTCTTTTTAAGAAAATGATTCCAGTAAATCTCTCTCTCTCTCCCAGATTAATTTAGCACACCCAGCTTTTCCTGTTTTGAGTCACTTCACAGCTCTCTCAACAGCCAAGAGAGCCCGTAAGGATGACCAGAGTGCAAAGGCACGCAGGGAAATTGCTGTTACGGGCAGGACACCACGAGGAGTGTCTGCTTGACCACCCACAGGTCCAAAAAAACCCTCTGACTGACTTACCCTGGCACAGGGTAACACCCTGGACTGACACTCGAGCCCTTCTCTGCCAACACTCGAGGGCTTGTTTACCTCACTTGAGCAGAGAGAGGAGCTTCAAGCAGAGCATTTTTGGTTGACCACAGCTCCAAAATGGCTGCCTCCCCCATCCAGAGAGTCTCATAAACCTCCACTGCACAGATGAGCGAGTTCTGAGCCTCAGTCACTGCTTTGGGCTGGGCATCAGACAGCTCTGCCCAGCCTGTCTTTCAGGGCAAAGGAGAAGAGGTGAAGCAACTCCTCTGCTGCCAGACACACATGCTTGGAAAACGTGTTATAGACCAGTGCAGGAGCCAGAGCTTCCAAAGGCACAATTCCCACATAAAAACACAAACAAGCTGCCAGGCTGTCGGATTCCCACAGCATCACCTGCCAAGGTAACATGTTGGTTTTCATCCAGAGGTCACTGCCAGCTCTCTGGCAGGCCTTTCCTAAGGATCACCTCCACACACCTCCCAGGAGGAACCACTCCTTTAGCCCCGTCACCCCTGGCCACGTCAGGAGCACAAGGAGGAGGTGAAGGGGCCACGTGGCCTTCAAGCTTTGGAATGAGCCCCCACACAGGTGTCCAGCACACGCTGTGGCAGGAGAATCATAAACCTGGTGGCACGAGCCTGGCATGCTGGGACAGCACAGCAAACACCCAAGATGGGAAAGGGACACAAGTGGACCCAGTGACTGGGGCTGGGATGTCACCAGCCACCAGCAGGGAAGGGCTTCATTTCGAGCTGTGATGCACAGTGGTCTCAGGTGCCACATTGTGCCAGTTGTGACCTTCTCCTCTGAGCCACAGCTGTGCAGGGGTGCCCTCGGCCTCTCCTTCCCTGATTCCACACATCACCAAGGTCTCCCTGTCTCCCCTTCCCCAGCCAAGAGAACTGGTCTCCTTCCCTCCCTGTTGCCATGTGCTGAACTAGCCTTGGCATTCCAGTCCCTCCTGGCTTGACAGGATTCAGAGCCCAGTGCCGTGCCAGGGAAGCATCAATCCTACCTGCACAATGTCCAGCACCATTCCAGCAGCAACTGTCCCAAAGCCTGCCAGGAGGAACGGGAAGAGGACTTGCAGCCCGATGGAAAAGGAGGTCTCCTTGAGGGGCGAGGCTGGCTCAGGACTCTGGTGTGTGCTGGTGTCATCGCTTTCATTGCTCTGGCTGCCATTTTCCAGCAGGGCATCGTCTTCTCGCACCCCTTTGGCGTTGGCACGGGACTCCAGCACCACTGCTTCTACTGCAGCAGGGCCCAGGAAATCTGAGGGCTCCACCAGCTGCCCCTGCTCCGGACTGGTGAGATGGTCCACAGGCACAGCCCCATTGGCCTGGTGGGTCTCCTTCTCAGGCTTGGCAGACATGCTGTTCAGAGGCTATCCTGACCCTTGGCTTGGTGGGCCTACAGCCAGCAGCTGTTCCAGAAGAAATCTTCTGCCAGGAGCTTACACAAATGGCCTTTCCGGCATCTAGGAGCGACCTCTCCTATCCCTGCTCGCCTGCCTTGGAGTGCAGAGCCTGCTCCTGCAGCAGAGATCCCCATCAAGCAAAGTCCAGCAACGGGGGACACCAACCACTGAGAGAGCAGGAACTGGGAATGATGGCCAGTTAATTCCCTCTGGTTCTCCTCTCCAGTGCTGTGTGCTACAGCAGCCTCCAAGGCAGGATCCAAGCTTTCCTTCTTTGACGTGTGACACTTCAGAGCATCTTTTTCCAGGTTTTCCTCCTGCAGCACGGCTGCTGTGATGGGGCACCCAAGGCAAGGAGAAAACCTGGCTTGTAGAGATGATCCAGCCTGGAAAAGCTCTTTTTGCTACCTTCTGTTGCTTTTCCCAGTAGCACTGTGCCCCTGCAGAATTCCAGTCTGAAGTCTCCTGTGGGTTTTTTTGCTCTGTTCCAGCCTGGCTTTTGCTCTCTGCCAGCAATCCCAGCAAGCTCCAAGTGTCTGTCGTCCTCCTCTTCCAGGAGAATTTCTCACCCAACAGCACAAGACAACCACAGCTCTTATTTAGAGCAACAGCAGGTCCCCAGTTCAGGTCGCTCACTGAGCTGGGCAGGCTGCAGGGTGGGCTCTGGCGTTCGGACAGCCCTGGATTTGACGCGGCTTTCCAAGAACTCGCCTTTCACCTGAAATACAGGGGAGGAAAACAGATATTCTGTTGGGATTCCACGGCAGCACAAGCAGCTCCTTCGTTTCTATGTCGAAGGTTCAGACTTTAACGCACCCCGGACCATCCCCTCGGCTCTCCTTCCCCTCTCAGGGGGCCGTGTCAGGGGACGGAGGGACCCCCGAGCCGCGGGACGCCCGGAGCCCCCGGCCGGGGCTTTGCCCCCGCCCGCCGGTGCCGCAGCGCCCGCAGAGCCGCGTCGCGGGGGGAGCGGGACCGGCGCTCCCGGAGCGCACCGGGGAGCGGCCGCGGAGGGGACACACTGCGGGGATGCGCTGCCCCGAGCGGAGCGGGAGCTGCCGCGGCCGGTCCCGCGCCGTGTGCCCGCGGTGCCGCCGCTCCCTCAGCGCTCTCTCACGGCTCCCGCACGGCTCCCTCAGCGCTCCCTCCCTCGCTGCTCCCTGCGCTCCCTCACGGCTCCCTCACCTCCCTCAGCGCTCCCCCGGCCGCTCTGCCCCGCCGGGCCCGGCGCGCGCCGCCCTGACATCACCCCCCGCCAATGGCGGCCCTGCCCAGCGCGCCGCGCCGCGCTCCTATTGGCTGCGGGCGCGTGGCGTCACTCCCGGCCCCGCCCCCTGCGCGGACTACGGCGGGGAGGGGGGAGAGGAGAGGCCACGCCCCCTTTGTGATGCTGGGCGTGGCCTGGGGTCACGTGGGGGAGAATCCACGTGGAGCGGGGGGAGCGATCCCTGTCCGTCCGTCCGTCCGTCCATCCGTCCATCCATCCCTCCATCCATCAATCCCTCCACCCACCCATCCATCTGTCCATCCATCCCTCCATTCATCCATCCATCCATACACCCCTTTATGCATGCATGCATCCATCCATCCATCCCCGAGCTGTGCTGGGATCCAGTGATCCTGCTGGCCATCCACCATCCTGCTATCCATCCATCTGTCCATCCCACTGTCCATCTATCTGCTGTCCCCTGATCCATTGATCCCACTGTCCTGTGGTCCATCCATCCATCCATCCCACTATGGATCTGTGCTTTGATTATCCCCCATCCAGGGGAATGTGGCTGGAGCCAGGCCCTGGAGCAGTACAAGTGGTACCCACTGGCTTTCAGGCCTCTGCCAGACTGGTGGAGTTCAGGAAAAAAAAATCAGGAATATTGTCACGTCCACACTTTGCCTGTTTACGCCAAACCATCCCCCAACAAATAAATAAAAACTCCTGCTGCAGAGGTAAGCTCCTCAATGCTCTGCAAAATTCCATGTTCTTGAATGACACCAACTCTTCTGATTCATGTTTTCCTTTTATTTCCCCATTTTTTTTCTTTTTTTTTTTTTTTTTTTTTTTTTTTGCATGAGTGGAACTTATGAGCAGTTGTTGTTTTTTCCTTCCTGCCTTTCCTTTCCTCCCAGGAAACAGTCAGCAGCAAGTTATTACTCAGAGTGATGACGTGATCCCCAGCTCCAGGCCTTGGAGACAGGTTTTGGGCCAATAAGGGTGGCTGTGTCACAACCAGGGGGAAGGGGGAGGGCAGCACAGGAACCACATTCCCCCATGGATACAGGGAGACAAGTGTGACTGGAACTGGTGACTTCATTCCTTGAGGAAACAAAGGCAGTTGTGGGCAGCAGGGGATCCATTGTGATCTAAAGCTCTGGGCTCTGCTACTTCATTTCTATCTGCTCTCGTTAAAAATTGAGCAAGGGAAGGGTTTATTCCTGAAGTATTTGCTGCTTTGGGAGAAAAGGGTGACTGGAACACGTGGAGCAGAGCAGGAGAACTAATTACAGAAAGCAGCTCTGATGAGGGACTTTTTGTACAGGCAGAGAGTGACAAGACAAGGGGTGATGGTTTTTGAAGTGCCAGAAGGCAGGGTTAGGTGGGATATTGGGAAGAAATTCCTCCCTGTGAGGGTGGGGAGGCCCTGGCAAAGGTTGCCCAGGGAAACTGTGGCTGCTCCATCCCTGGAAGTGTCCAAGGCCAGGTTGGACAGGGCTTGGAGCAACCTGGGCTAGTGGAAGGTGTCCCTGCCCATGGCAGGGGGTGGAATGAGATGATGTTTAAGGTCCCTTCCAACCCAAACCATTCTGTGATTTCAAGGGCTGAGGAGCCTCTGGACTCACTTACCTAATTCCCAGACCCTCCTATTGTGACACCAGCAAAGAGACCTCAAGGAAAACTTAAGACATACAGAGACATGTCTTAACTAAAACCACAACACACTTCCACACTCAGGCTGGGATTGGAGCTCCAAATCCTGCCTCCAGCCCCAGCCTCTGTTCTCCTTTGTCCAAATAAACCTGGGTAAGGCTCTCCTTCCGCCTGCATCTTTCCTTCCTGACTCGGAAAATCCGTATCTCCCCCGGAACAACCATCCTTCCCTCACCTCCCCAAAACCAAGGCCCACCAAAATGTGACCTTGTTGCTGCCCAGCCCAGCTGCACGCTCAGGAAGTGGAAGCGTGGAGACAAAAGCTGCCTGAGACAAGAACACAGAAATAGATAAAACCCCCACCAGTGCAGAGATCAGAGAGGCAGAGGATGAAAGGGCAGGAAATGGGTTTCCAATTGCAGGGAGCAGGTACCAAAGGCAATAAAGTGTTTGGGAAGGGAAGGGTTTACCACTGAGCTGCAGTTGGATCAGGGAATGTCGTGCCCATGTGTTTTACAGCAGCCACGTGATTTTGGCAGTGTCAAACTGTCCAGCTCTGGGCCAGCACTCAGGAATAGCCTGAGAGCCCACAATGGGTATAGGGTGACTCCCCCTTGCACAGAATGCAGCAAAATAAAAGGGTTTGGCCAAAGTCGCTCAAAACATCCACCTCATCCAGAGCTGACAGTGCCCCGAGAGGTGCCTTTGCTCCCTGCTCCAGCTCCCCCACTCTGTCACAGATGTCAATGCAGCCCCAGCTGCCTTTGACCAAGGATCCTGAAGGAACTGAGTTCCTAATTACTTGCAAACAGGAATCCCAACAGGCAAACTCAAAAACTGGTCATGACTTACCCCTTCAGATGTCAGTCCAGAGCAAAAGCAGCTCACGAGGGCAGGCAATGATGTCAGAGGCAGACTGTGATCTGGGAGATCTGGGAGATGCAGACCCTGGAAATTCTGTTTTGCCAACCTGGAAGCAAACAAACCCATCCCCATCCTTTTTTTTTTTCCAAGGCCCACATGAGCAGTGCTCCCAGCTGTGTTCCTGTGTCACCCACGTGCTGTGACAAACACGGGTCAGCCCCAGGCAGGTCTGTCCCTTGGGCTTTTGGCCATGTGAGAGCTCCTGGCAGAGAGGAGCTGGAAGGTCCTGGTTTCCTGTGTTCCACAAGGCCAGTGGTTCCTGTGAGATAGCAGGGCCATGGACACCTGTCATGGAGGCACTGAGGATGTGCCTCACATTTCGGGTTTGTTCCGGATATGAGCTCTGAGCTCATTTATATTCAGAAATCAGGCTGAAGGAAACATGAACACCACAAGGCTGGTCAGAGCAGAGGCTGGTATTAAAAAAAAGAATAAATGAAAATCATCTCTTTTACTCCCTTCTGTTTCACAGAATCACAGAGTAGTTGGGGTTGGAAGGGACCTCTGGAGATCCAGGCCCTTCCATGGGGTCACCTTTCTACTGCAACACCAGGCACAGTGTTCAAGTGATCTGAGTATTTACAGGGCTGCAATAAACCCTACATTGTGTTGGATTAAAAATACAAGTTAAAATGCATGAAAAGCACCCTGGGAAATGCTGCATGTTGCTTCTAAACCCCACTGCCCAGGCTGTGACCAACTCGTGGGTAAATCCATCAGTGCCAAAGAGCGTTTTCCCTTTGTCCCCTGCCCTCACCACCCTTGCATGGGGTCATTTTCCTTCCTGCTGAGAACTGGCTGCAGCTTCCTCTGGGGCCCACCACCACCCCAGCTCTTCAATCAGCTCAGTGATCTGCACTGAGCAGGGCAGGTCCCTCCCTTCCCCACCACGCTGAGCTCTTTATCTCCACCACCCGCTGCCCCGGGAAGTGTGGGAGCGGAAAGCGGAGCCAAGGCCCTGCACAGCAAACCTGATGTCACACAGCCTGCCCTGAGCTGCTCAGCTGGGCAAAACAACCCCTGGGCAGCACTTCTGCACCACACTCCAGGCACTGAGATGTTGAGAGAGACCTCACAGCTCATGGCAGTGCATCTTTAAAGCGTTGTTACAAGAACCTGAATTCGTGGACTAAAAGGACAAACACGTCTAAAAGTTTCAGAGCACCAGCAAGGGGAGGACTGAACACATTGGCAAGAATCTGTGCAGGGTTCAACCACTGAAGAGCACAGAGTTAAGGGTCACAGGCTGAGCTGCTCCTCTGGAACAGCAAAGGACACTGCAGGCTGTGGCTGAGCAGCCTCCAGATTCCTCAGTGCGTGTCTTGCTCTGGTGAGGGGGAGTTTTCACAGCACCTGCTCGAGAAAATGGATTTTGCCAGCTCCGTGGAACACCAAATAAAATGGCAAAAGAGGAGCCAAGAATGCAAGTGTCAAGTGCCAAGCTGGAGGAAACAACTTTGTAAACACCTTGTTCCTGCGTCCCCCTGCAGCTCTGGGCCTGAACTCCCCGTGGTCACTCGGGGCTGAAAATAAACCAAGCCTTGTTAAACAGAGGGCAGCAACAGAGCTTTCTTTAGAAAATGCAGGTGTGGAATGTGACCTCTTCTCCGTGGTGTAGCAGGCCCACATGTCCCTAGATCAGCTGGCCCACAGCAGGCTGGGATGACTGGACAACTGCAGATATGTTATTTAGGGTTGTCAGAAGAATGGCAGCTTTGTGGACTTGGGGAAGAGCAGGGAAAAAAGGAAGTTGCTATGGATGTAACACAGAAAAATGTTAACACACTGGAATTGGACTAAGAGTGTTCAAATCATTAGTATGACACCAAGTTACCTGTCTTCAGAGCAGAAAATCAGGCTTTTCCTTCTCTGATGAGTCAGAGGTAATTGCTCTCCATGCTCAAGGCACAGTGACTCATGACAACCAAAAAAGCATAGCTCTGAGAGTTAATAATCTGTGTTTTCATGGTGCACTTGGCATTAGCAAGGAACTATTCACACTAAGGTGATCTTAGCAGGAAAGGCCAGCACATCACCTGTGCACTGTTAGTTACAGGATGACACCAAGATTTCACACAGCACTCAGGGTAAGAGACATTCCCAGAAAACTAAAATGAGGTGGAAAGAGAACTGTGGTGTCAGGAGAGGTGTGCAGACACCAAACCATTGAGTGCCCCTTCAGAATAGTGTCAGATGAGCACGACATGGCAGCTAATGTGGTAAAATAAAGAGGCTTAAGAACACAAAGGCAAAGCTGCTGCATGGGAAAAAAAGCACAGACAGTTTAGGAAAAATGGGCAGAGGTGGGGAATGTACCTTTCCAGCAGTGGATCCTGCTGGTGTGTTCAAGGCCCTGGAGTTTGGAGGGCTCAGGTTGCAGCAGAGCTGTGCTGAACACGTCCCCAGTGCAGAGGCACTGCCCAATTTCA